AGAAGATGAAATAACACTTAAAGAGCGATACAGTAGTTGACAGTATTTTTTATTCATTTCACCATTTACTGTTTTAACAACCTTGTAATTACGGAAAAGCTTGAATGTGCATATGATTAACCTGAAGTTGGAGTGGAGTCGCAGTGGAGTCTGGCAGTCATTACCTAGAAACAGAAGGTATACAGGTGAATAGAATAGTGCAAATCAATATGGGTTTGGACTATGGCCAGAAAAAATGTAAAGAATTTCATATTCAAGAGGCTCAGCACATTATATGTTAGGCTCTGAAAAGAGCCGTTGTGGGTCAGTCTTGTGGTGGACATGACTACTCTGTGGGCTGCCACGGCAGTGCTCCCTCCTCACTGAAGTGGGCCATGAACACTTTCCTTATGTCCACTGCTTCTCTTGTCGCGTTGTTGGCGGCCATCCGCTGCACGCCTGGAAGTGGTTCTTCACCGGCAGCAGCTCCCCTCGGTGCAGGAACCTGCCCATCTCCAGCCATCCTCATGGCTGGAGATGGGCAGGGCGCATTAAATTGCGGCGCAATGGAAAGGCTTCATCTGCCACGAACACATGGGGCTGGGGTCCTCTGTGGTCAGCTCCAGGTATGCACTGGTCAGGAGGCAGGTCGAGTGTGCCCTCGCGCAGAGCCTCACCAAAGGCAGAGTTGGACATGATGCCTCCATCGCTGGATCTGCCGTACCCTCCCACATCAATCACCCTGAACCTGTACTGGGCATCCACTACAGCCAGGAGCACAAGGGAATGGTGCCCCTTATAATTAAAAAACATGGACCCAGAGTTGGGGGGTGCCTTCACAGCCACATGCTTCCCATCAATGGCCCCACAGCACAGAGGGAAGTTCCATCGGACCTCAAAGTCCTGCGCTATGGACCTCCACTCCTCTGCTCCAGGCACAGCTATGACCTCCTCCACGAGGCAGTCCCAGATGGCTGCCACCACATCTGGGATGAGCATGGAGACGGTGGATATGCCCACTCTGAAGCTCCCCGCAATGGTCCTGTAGGAGTCCCCAGTGGCAAGAAACCTGCAATTACAAAATGATATGAACATATTTATCACAATTACATTCATAAAAATACGTGACAAAACTTGTGTAGCATAAAATACGTTAAACTAGTAGACAGTAAACATCATAGACAGTAATCATAGACACCATATTGTTGCATAATACTGTTTTCTGAGCTATTACATTGTGGATTGTGATTGAAAAATGACACACTTTGTAAGTATTTATGAATTCTGAATGGGGTAAAAAACACTAACCGCAGACAGATGGACAGGCGCTCTTCAGCTGGAATAGAGCGCCTGTAGTTGGTGTCCTGGTAGGAGATCCTAGCGCCAATGCGGGTCAGTAGGTCGTCAAACTGGGCCAGGGAGAGACGAAAGTACCGCTGAAAGCGACCCTCATCCGAGCGCAGCTCCCGGAGCAAATGGTGAAACTCACCAAACTCCAACCGTCTACGGACTATCTGATGAATCCAGACACGTCGTCGATTCGCCCTTTGACGACGTTGTCTGGCTTTATTTATCAGATAAAGCAACTCCTTCGCTGACATCCATGTTGGGAAGCTACAGGCAAAAGAGACAAGCCCCGCCCCTAAACGCTCTCAACGCTCTGTGACAGCGGCTGCCCTCTAGTGTCCTGGCTGCGCGGCCAAGTTTCTCTGTGACAGCGGCTGCCACAATTTGTCACAAGCGGCTCAAGCCGCGCGATAGACGCGATTTGGCCGCAGAAATCGCGTTTGGTCTGAACGCACCACTACTCTCAGCTGGTGGGGAGCCTCGGACTTCTTCATAGAGCGGTAGCACCGGGCTCTGTCACCTCGCCTGTCAGAGAATTTTTACCTGACACTGGTAATTAGAAAAACAACTTTCATCGCAACACATGTACATAATATTAGCTCGCTACGAATGGGTCGTTGCGGGTATTAAAAGGCAGTCACATTAGTTAGCATGTTAGCAAGAGTTAGAGCCTGTGAACTTACCTTCAAAGTTTATGATGTATGAACAAACATACAACTTAAACCCCTTCTCCATGAGGCTCTGTGGAGTTATCGACACACTCCTGACCAGTCGTCGGACGTCATTAACCGAGACTTTTGGGATCTCGATTAAACAACGAGTGAAATCTGCCATTTTCCGTGGTAGTTGCATAGACTGTAACAGCAGTAGACCGGGTATGACGCGGCGCCGGAAGAGACATCTCATCTGACGCAGAACCGATGCGTGCATATAGCTCATGGATGTATTATATTAACTGGTTGGGTAGTTTCAGGTTGAGTTTCAGGCCGGGCCCGGCGATCCAAGATGGCGCCCTATTCAAATGAACGGTTGTGCTCAGTGGTACTTTGTGACGGCATGGGGGCTGAAAGATTAGCGGAAGTTGCCTGAAACTCGCAAAGATCTATGGGAAACTCGCCTGTATTTGGGCATCGTCTGGTCCTCCCGGTTCTGTGCAGTGGATGATCTCCCATAATGCGTTGCGCCAAACACGCGTGTGTGGGTCTCACACCGGGTCTCACGCACGTGCACAGAGGGGCTCGGCCGCGCTCTGACCAATCAGAGCAGTTCATCAGAGCGGGAGTTAGAGCGAGAGCCAGAGGAGTAGAGTTTGTGGCACTAAAGTGTGGATTTAAACAAAACCGAAGGATTTAAGAAGAAAAAAAGTTCAGGATGACAAGGGACACTAAAATCCCCACAAAATCCTATCTTTATTGAAGCTGTAGGTTCTCTGTCAGCTGAGGTTGAGCTGTTTTAATATGCATTGAGTTCTATGGGGAAAATTTCTGGGTAGCCCACGTGAATTTAGTCTGGTTCAGTCTGCAGTACCGCGACAATCCCCTGAGCACGTGAGTTATTCAGCTACAAGCTAGTAATACCCTATCCAGTTAATATAATACATCCATGCTTGATATAGCCTCACGTGTTGCATTTGTGGGCACGGTTCAACAATCCGTGCTCACAGTTTTACAATCTGTGCTCACAGTTTAAGAATACGTGCTCACAGTTTAATAATCCGTGCTCACAGTTTAATAATCTGTGCTCACAGTTTAACAATCCGTGCTCACAGTTTAATAATCCGTGCGCACAGTTTTTTTGTTTTTTTTACCCCTGGCCCTTGCAGGGCTCCATGGAAACCTACTTTAATTTATATAAAAAACCTTAAATATATGTGCAAATTATCAAGCAAATAATGTATCCTTGCTTTATTTCTTCGCTCTCCGCGTAAGGCTGGTCTAATATATACAGTCTATGGGTCTAATCCATAAATGGAGTGATCAGCGTAGGTACTGGGTCATTTGTACGAAATGCATGGATATGTTGTTAAATCATCAGCCACCTGACAGAGCAGAGTAGAAATAAATAAAGCTAGAGGAATCGTGAATATAGCATTTAGTTCACTCAATTGAAACTAATACTGTTTTCAGAATGAGTTTCAGAATGAGAAATTAGAACTTGACAATGTCCTTTCAACTGGTAAAAGGGCTGGATGGTTGTATCGATTTATCGCCCAGTCTATTATAACTTCAGATTTATTAATTTGTAAAAACAGTTCCCATCCTCACCTATGAGCTTAAGTTTGGCACTTAAAAGTAGTTCACAGAAGAAGTTCGGAGAAGAGCAGCGTTCCTCTATCAAGAGTACGAGCTCCAGTTGAGGTGATTCGGGCATAGATTGAGTCAGGACCATAGACTGTCAGGACAAGCTGGAGGAACTGTCTTTCAGTTATCGTCGGAGATTCCCCTGGATGAGCTGGAGCAGGTTTCCAGCACTGCTCAGGCTGCTTTCACTGCTTTTTAAAAAAAACGATTTTTCTAATATACATTAAAACATGTGAACATAAGTGACAAAAACTATTTGTCAGTGGACAGCCCATGGTGGTCAGTCACATTATGAATCAGCAGTGTTCATTGTACAAAAGAAATATCAATAACTTTATGTTTTCACAAATTGTATTATTATTATAAAAACAGGAGATGATCCAGGAAACTAAGGACATTATTGATTGTTTATAGACATTGGTCCTCAATAGTAATAAAACATTGGTTTTATGATAGATAAGATAAGATATGCTTTATTTATCTCACAAAGGAGAAATGTACATGTCACATTTGGCATGGATAGGAACACTCAAGATTGTGCAAAAAGGGAGGGAATGTGCAAACATGTTAAAATGCAGGATATATTATGTACAATAAAAGTGGCAATCAGAAATAGTGTCAATATTAGTGCATTTTTTTCAGTCTTATACAGTGACTTAAAGTGACTTATTGTACAGTCTGACGGCGGTGGGGATAAAGGCCCTGCGGTAGCGCTCCTTCTTACACAAGGAATTATTCATTCACTCCATAAACAACTACTGGTGATAAACTACTACTACTACTATAACCACAGCTGCCCTGGGGCAGACTGGGGATGTAAAGTGCCAAACTGTCTTTGTGTGCTTCCAGAGGGGCCTCATCACAGTACTAACCAGGCCCTGCCCTGCTTAGCTTCAGAGGTCTGACAGGATATGGCTTTCACATGCATGTGTTCTCTTCTTGCACCCCTTGAGACAACTGTTTTGTGGTGGTAATATGATGGTGTATTATGCCAAAAATTAAATAAAATGTTTTGATTATGATTCCACTTTCTTCCAGTCACAAGATGGCCGCCGGAATGACCAATGGCAACAGTATTCAAACCTCTTTAGCTTTATTTACACCGCCTGGTAACAGCAGCCATCCAGGGAGGACCAGGAAGTAAATCAGAGAGGCGAATCTGCACGTCCTCTCCCGTCTTCCAGGATCCTTTTTAGGCTTTTTTAAAACCAGGAAATCAGCCCTACAACCTCTTACATGCGCTTTAACCATCAGCTATAGCAGTTTAACTCACACGTAACAAGGAGACCTCTTGTTCGCAGATATCGGAGAAAGTAGTGGGCTTGTTTGAGTTACCATTTCTCTTCTTAAAAAAGAAAAAAGAATTGTAGAAAAATGGCGACTAGCTCCGAGCGCAGTCCTCCTCCTTTCCCAGATTCGGAGGAGCAAGACATTTTACAGGACACGGAGGATGAAATAGGACAGCAACAGCAAAGAGACAGCGACTACGGGGAAGACGAAGATGACGAGCTGTTCATGAGTACTATCGTGAGTGGCATCTTACGCGCGACGCAAAACAAGTCAAATCATGTTATAAATACACACATAACCTTACCACATCAAATACGGTTGCCTTTACACTGTATTTGCATGCCAATTTCATCCATGCATTGTTTACTTGTTCTTGCGCCTGTGAATTCTGTTTTTGCGCACGCCAAAAAGTTCATAATTTTGTCACGTTCGGTTGTAACTTGTACAAGGTGTGCAGTCATGAAACGCCAAAACAAGGTAGAGTGACCATAGACTGAATAATCTGATTTCTTTCTGATTATGCCCAACCATGAAATTTTAAGACTATGTAATTAGAAAAAGCAGATCATATATTGATTAAAGCTGGGACACATAACTTCCAACTTCCAACACAATACAATTTATTCTTGTATAGCCCTAAATCACAACAGCAGTCATCTCAGAGGACTTAAGAAAACCATTGAAATCACCAACACAAATCAGAGAATCGACAGTTAAGATACAGAAAATACACATGTATTGGCCCATATGGAGAGACCAATGTCCATGAATGTTGATAAATGTCCATACACAGTCCTTCTTGTTAGACACTATTAACTGTCCAACAGACCCTCCAGCATCAGCAAGGAAAAACTCTAAAACCCAGAAAACTTGATCCTCACTCTCCAAAAATATTTTCATGTATGCGTTGGCCTCTGTTACACCTTTTTTTTAAGAACAGCCTTTTCAGACGGAAAAAAGATTGTTTTTTTTAACCAGTTAAATAATCTGTGTTACATGTTTTTGTCTCTTTAAAAAGTATGATGAAATAGACTGCTATCCCAACCTTAAGAATTTGTTATTTATTTATTAATATTGTCATTATTTTTATTTTTCCCCTCAATTGACACTAAAAACTCACTGCTGTCATGTGAGTGGGTTATTGTCACGTGGTCTGCACCCGGATGTTTATCCTCAGGCAAAGTTCACAGGCAAAGAGCTTTGGGAATTTGCTGCCTGTGATTTTTCTCTCTTGGAGTAGATTTAGCAAGTGGAAAAGTTGACTCTGCAGTTATATACTTTTGACTGCACTAATGTGTCCTCCCCGTGCGTTTTCATAGATAATAATAAAAAATAAAGAAAAACTTCCATTTGGAAAAATCATATAGAAGCCAATAGATGAGGTAAGAATATGGTTGCCATTCACAGTATTTCAATGAATTTAATCTGCATGATTGTAACATGTGTTACTGGGTTCAAGTAGATTCAACACAAGTTGAACTCTTATATGTACAGAATATAAAAATTTGGTTCGGCGCTCCTGGCTCCAAAACAGTTTGGTTCAATCACTAGTTTTAACGTGCATGTATTTTTGGCCTCTCTGGTCTTTAGACCAGCTTTTTAAAACAGAAAAAAATATAAATAACGCACCACCCTCACACAACCCTCAGCTCTCAGCCCAAAACTTCAAATAGTGATTCACAGTGATCTTTCTTACAAGTATGCAAAAAAAAAAATCTAATGAGATTAAGATGGCATGTTGTGGTCTGAAAGTAAAATTAAACCATAAATATTTAGACTTTTTAAACAGTTTCTCAATAATTTCACAACGTTTCCTGTCCATGTTGTGTTTCCTCTCAGAGAATCCTCTGACAAGACGTGAAACATCCAGATTATGCAACACTTGTATTTGATGAATAAGTATTTTTCTACTGATGCAGAGCAGGGCTGACGGAGACTATCACTGTTCTACACTAGTAGTAATTTTTGGGTAAGGGTTAAGTGAAGGCAAAAAGTTATGTTTTCTATGATTTCAGAATGAGTATGTTTACAAAGCACAAGTGAAAACCATATAACTCGCTCATTCCCGTAAAGCCACCCAAAAACATGTTAACTAATAACAAATGTGACCTTTTTAAGCATATTTACCTCCACCATGTTTTTTGAATTGTATTCGTAGGCTTAGAATTTAACTTATAAGTGTCCATGAGAGAGGGGTGCTCTCCAAGTAAATGCGCCATCTTGGATAACGGTGGTGGATAAGAGACAAAAAGCGAGAATCGGATCGAGCTACTGATATTGTTGCTTTCACCGTGCCTTCACAAGTTGGAAGAAGGAACCATGGAGGACCATAGTTATGTAAAAGAACGATTCGAACAACAATCTTTTCGAAAAAATAATAATGCAGTCCAGCGTTATAGCAGCAAAGTGTCAACATCGCAAACCACACGCACAAGGACAGTGTTAACACAACTGGAGGCACATTGTGTAGTTTGTACACAACAGACTCACAAGTGAACAATACGTAACTTTTTCACACTGACAATAAGAACGAGGCAGAATCTGCAACACAGTCTCAGGATGTTCTGACCCGATCCGAGCGCAGTCCAACTACTATGTCATAAGTTTCAACTAAACTTATTCAGGGACAAGCATCAAATAAAACACACACAGAATCCTTGCAAAACAATCGCCAGAATACTTTATTAGCAGCGCGAGTGAATGTTCTGTTTTTCTGTGATGCAGATAGGGCGCTGTGGCTAACGCTAATGCTCACATGAGCTGTTTGCATGTCCTGTATATCTCCTGCTTCTTTGATCACCGTAGTTTTAAGCTCCACAGACGTTATTCCCCCATGCGTCTCTTCTCTTCACACCGCGTTTGTAAAACTATATATTATAATAGATCCATGGTAAAACTTAGTTGAGCCTCTGTGCAGGGTGCTGTCTGAACGCGGTCTTGTTTACATCCACTCCTCCACACGATTGTGTCAAGTGCCCAAGACGTTTGGAGAGATCCGGTCATTTATCAAACTAAAGTATTCTTTCTTTGGCAGTCTGGTGAATGACTGAGAGTTGAGGAGCACTGTCAAACGCTATAGGCAACAGTGCTCCTTAACTCTTGGCACCTGTACTATATTAGACTGCAATATAACATCTCAAAGCTAGATGGCACTAAATATTACACAGTGTACCTTTCAAGCAAGATTTGTGTAAACCCGGGCACTGACCTTGAGATGTGAAAACCTCAAGTTTGGCATAACTGGATTGAACCATTTCTACTCCGTCTAAGCTGCAAGTAAAAAACGGATACTACTGAGACAAGGCCAGTGGTGGTTTAGTTTTTCTAATGTTACTAGTTGTTGCAACAGTGAAAAAACGGCAAAATTGTGAGAAGTGCGCTCGTCAAAAAGAATATTGACGGCATTAAAATTACTTTTAACTGACAGAAATAGTTGTGATTTGCCATAAGTTTACTAATGCAGTATTTGATAGCAATTTTTAAAAGGTAATTGTTTCTTCTACACCAGAAAAATTTAAGCTAGTACTGTAAATTGTTATTTTGAATGCGCTGGAAACAGCAGCAAGTCTTTGGTAGCTCTGAAACAATTTATTTTTCTTTTTTCTACCGGCGATGTTGCTGCAGTACACTGTTGATGGTTTTACCAAAGCAGAGAGGATTTTTGGTCCGAACCAAGCAGATCAGGCGGAAATCCACTGGAGGAAGGCTAACTTTTTGCTGACAAAGCATTCAGCCTCTCGCTTTGGAGCAGAGAAAATGGTCCGAACCAAGTGGCTACTCCATCTCTGCTGCTGTGACCCGTCCTGCTACACCCAGAGGCTCCACCACCTCTGCTGCTGTGACCCGTCCTGCTACACCCAGAGGCTCCACCAGCTCTGCTGCTGTGACCCGTCCTGCCCCACCCAGAGGCTACACCATCTCTGCTGCTGTGACCCGTCCTGCTCCACCCAGTGGCTACACCACCTCTGCCGCTGTGACCTGTTCTGCTCCACCCAATGGCTACACCACCTCTGCTGCTGTGACCTGAAGTGAAGTTGCTTATAATTACTATTGTTAGCTTTTTTATTTTTTATTTTAATTAGTATAGCTATTGTTCACTTATCTTGTGCGGTGTGCTCCTCATTTCTACTGTTCTGAAACTTGTGATGCAACACTGAAATTTCTCCGCAGTGGGACGAATAAAGGATCTCTCTTAATCTCAGTTTTTTTTTTTAGAATGATCAATTGTTTTGTATTTGTATTTCTCCCACGAGGAATCAATAAAGTACCTACCTATTACCTTGAATATTTCAACGTCATACTTCCCTATTCCTCAGAATCGTTTACTAATCTAAGATCAACTTCCTAAACTAGCAATCTTATTTACAATTACTGTTGAAAGCATGACAAGGCTCGTTCTGGTCAATTGGATGAAGCATGACTGGGCCCAGAGTGGTCTGACTGGTTTGGGAGCAACACCAAATGGTCAGTTTTTAATTTAGACTTAAAGGAATAGTTCACCGTTTTTACATACTGACATATGTTCTTACCTTACCTTAGACTAGTTAATACGTACCTGTCTGGTCTTAGTCCGTGCGCTCTGTCATGCAAACGGAGCAAAAACGGGAGCACAACCGCAGCCTCCTCTGTATATTTTGTAGCACCAAAAGGTAGCTCCCGCTAGAAGCTACCAAACTCTTCCAAGTGTTCCCTATTAAATGTATATAGTTACGTGACGTGTTACACTGCAAAGTATAGTAACACAGAAATGTAACACGTCACGTAACTATATACATTTAATAGGGAACACTTGGAAGAGTTTGGTAGCTTCTAGCGGGAGCTACCTTTTGGTGCTACAAAATATACAGAGGAGGCTGCGGTTGTGCTCCCGTTTTTGCTCCGTTTGCATGACAGAGCGCACGGACTAAGACCAGACAGGTACGTATTAACTAGTCTAAGGTAAGGTAAGAACATTTGTCAGTATGTAAAAACGGTGAACTATTCCTTTAAAGCTGCACTAACTGACTTTGGGATTTTGAAGCCGCGGACACGCTGGCCTCTCTCTTTCTGCTCCCCTCCCCGCACCCACGAAGCTATCGCCCCCCAAACACACCCACTGTTGACGGAGCTAGCGTCTCCCAATATAGATAATTTTCACGTGGATGGCGTGACCATAGAACGATAGAACCGGGAAGCGCGGAGGAACGAGACTTTCTTTTGGATGGATGTCTCGCTGTGTACGCAGTAACCGGTGACGAAGACGAGTTCTTGTTGGAAACAGTTCTTATTAAATTTTATTCAGCACAAACAGCAAAACAATAACGTTAACTATTTACAAGTGCTGGAGGAATGCAAAAGACTTGATAAGCTACGAGTGCAGATTCAAACAAAGACAGGTGCAGGAACAGTGCAAAAGAAATGACCGCAGTTTATAAGTTATATATGTTAGATTTGCAACAGAAGTCTAGTCCACTGGCTCCGTCTATATCAGGCTCTGCCATGAGTCCAACTGCTTTTCCTTCGGTTCCTTCGAAGCACAAAGCAGTCTGCTCCTTGCTTCCCAGAAAGTAATCACACAGACCAATCACAGTGGAGCTTCTCTGCGGCGCCGGCTGCGTAGTTAAGCCTAGTGTATACTTGCGCGGCGTGGCTTACGTTAGCGTTGCGGTGGACCTACGTAAGCACAATTGATGTTATACTGGCGCGTTCCCCTTACGGAGTTTTGAGGAGAATGTTGTAATCCCACAACAAACCACATGAGGGCGAAATTTTCGAGAGTGCGCGGCAGGCTACGCAAGTGACTTGCGGTGATCCTTGTATTGCGCGAGTGACGTCACGTCACCACCGTAAGCTCCGCGCCGCGCGTCTATACACTAGGCTTTACTTGGTGACAGAGGGAAAACAACAAAGGCAAAAGATTTGAAAAACTTCTTTGTTTAAAGTGGACAAAAACGTGCAATCCTTTTTATTAAAGCTATCAAACTGTATCCTCCTCCATACAGTGCCTTGTGAAAGTATTCGGCCCCCTTGAACCTTTCAACATTTTGCCACATTTCAGGCTTCAAACAAAGATATAAAATACATTTTTTTTGTCATGAATAACAAGTGGGACACAATCGTGAAGTGGAACGAAATTTATTGGATAATTTAAACTTTTTTAACAAATAAAAAACTGAAAAGTGGGGCGTGCAATATTATTCGGCCCCTTTACTTTCAGTGCAGCAAACTCACTGCAGAAGTTCAGTGAGGATCTTTGAATGATCCAATGTTGTCCTAAATGACTGATGATGATAAATAGAATGCACCTGTGTGTAATCAAGTCTCCGTATAAATGCACCTGCTCTTTGATAGTCTCAGGGTTCTGTTTAAAGCGCAGAGAGAACCATGAAGACAAAGGAACACACCAGGCAGGTCCGAGATACTGTTGTGGAGAAGTTTAAAGCCGGATTTGGATACAAAAAGATATCCCAAGCTTTAAACATCTCAAGGAGCACTGTGCAAGCAATTATATTGAAATGGAAGGAGTATCAGACCACTGCAAATCTACCAAGACCCGGCCGTCCCTCCAAACTTTCATCTCAAAAAAGGAGAAGACTGATCAGAGATGCAGTCTAGAGGCCCATGATCACTCTGGATGAACTGCAGATAACTACAGCTGAGGTGGGAGAGTCTGACCATAGGACAACAATCAGTCGTGCACTGCACAAATCTGGTCTTTATGGAAGAGTGGCAAGAAGAAAGCCATTTCTCAAAGATATCCATAAAAAGTCTCGTTTAAAGTTTGCCACAAGCCACCTGGGGGACACACCAAACATGTGGAAGAAGGTGCTCTGGTCAGATGAAACCAAAATCGAACTTTTTGGCCACAATGCAAAACGATATGTTTGGCGTAAAAGCAACACAGCTCATCACCCTGAACACACCATCCCCACTGTCAAACATGGTGGTGGCAGCATCATGCTTTGGGCCTGCTTTTCTTCAGCAGGGACAGGGAAGATGGCTAAAATTGATGGGAAGATGTATGGAGCCAAATACAGGACCATTCTGGAAGAAAACCTGTTGGAGTCTGCAAAAGACCTGAGACTGAGACGGAGCTTTATCTTCCAACAGGACAATGATCCAAAACATAAAGCCAAATCTACAATGGAATGGTTCACAAATAGACGTATCCAGATGTTAGAATGGCCAAGTCAAAGTCCAGACCTGAATCCATTCGAGAATCTGTGGAAAGAGCTGGCAAGAATTCCAGTCTCTCGATGTGCAAAACTGATAGAGACATACGCCAAGCTACTTGCAGCTGTAATTGCAGCAAAAGGTGGCGCTACAAAGTATTAGCGCAAGGGGGCCGAATAATATTGCACGCCCCACTTTTCAGTTTTTTATTTGTTAAAAAAGTTTAAATTATCCAATAAATTTCGTTCCACTTCACGATTGTGTCCCACTTGTTGATTCATGACAAAAAATAGTTTTTTTATATCTTAATGTTTGAAGCCTGAAATGTGGCGAAATGTTGAAAGGTTCAAGGGGGCCGAATACTTTCGCAAGGCACTGTTTGTATTTCTCAATCTAAACATATCTTTTTTTTCACCCACAGAGTGATCCACCCGACACAGACACTACCCCCGCCGTCACCAGTCAAAACACAGACCCTTCGCTCGAGTCTCCCATTGACGATCCAATGATGGAGCTTGTGAGCGAGCCATCTGACAGCAAACCGGCAGCCGATGTCCTTAGCGAGCCTTCCGATGAGTTTGAAGACTTGTCAAACACCGAATCTGACACAAACGATGATCCCATGGCAAAAACCGACACCACTGATGACTTCTTTGACCTTTTGGGAAGCGAGAGTGAAAGCAAAAAGGCTGTGGCACAGATGGAAGTCACGCATACAGCAGAGATTCAACTGGAAAAAGAGGTTACACCAGCTCTTGTTGATGTTATGCTGGATTTTTCTCTCCCAGAGACGAAATTGGAGGACACTGTGGTTGTTTTGGGAAGCGATTCAAATGCCAAATCTGATCTTTCAGTCCCCGAGACCAGACCTGTGGAACCATTGCTCGATTCTCCCCTGAAAGTTGAAGCCAAAATGCAAAATGCAGCTGTAGTAGATCTATTTGGGGATGACGAAGAGGGCAGTGATCTTTTCGCGGAGCCCAAATTGTCCAAAGCTTCCAAGCTTCCACAGAAAAGCTTGTTTGAGGAAGTGGACAATAATTTATTTCCTGAACCTTTGGGCGCAAATGACAAGAAACCAGTGACTGTTTCAGTGCCAGTAGGCCTGGAACCAAAAGCGATCGTGACCAAAGCAGAAGTTGAGGTGAGGAGTAAAGCATCAGTCCTTACAGAGCCCGATGACTTTTTCTCAGAGGAGACCATGGTGACGGAGTCGGCCCAAAAGATGCAGAGCGGAACCACGTCCAAAACAAACGGGCTTCAGGAAGAGGAGGGGGACATATTTGCAGGTATGGACCATGGCTGCCACCCTCTCCACAGAGAAGGCTGCCACAGAAAAGTGGACTATCACTGAGCCCACACCAGGAGCTGGCAGCAAAGTCCACTGCACTAAACAGACCGACACTTTGTAGATCTTACCACACAAACACACACACATAAAATACTTGACATGTTTGAGGAGGAGGAGGAGGAACTAAAGTTAAACTAAATAGTGTTGCACCATGCAGAAAAATGATTGTCTATTTTCACAAACACCTAATTTTCTCGGCTTTCAGTGAAAATCAGTGAAATCATCAAAAATTACTGGAGGTAAGAGCTACTAAAATGTGAATTGTGATTGTTGTGTTTTGATGGTAGAAGCCACAGTGGAGCTCTCTCTGGACAGCCCCCGAAATGAGAGAAAGAGAGAGCCGTCTAAACCCTCTCCTCCGACAGCCCTGTCTGCAGCTGCTGGTCTGAGTCCTCCTGAGGCTCTGGAGGAGGTGACACGCACACACACACACACACACGCACACACACGCACGCACAGGCACACTGACGGACATGGCCACCAGTGAAGTTGTGAAATCTTTGAAAGCTTTTCACTTTTTAAGCTGGGTACATAACTTAAAATCAAAATTTATATCACTTGCCACTTACGTTCCGAACTGTTTCTATCACTAGTTCATGGTGTTTGAATGTGTATGAAAACATTCATTTGTTTTCTTTTTAATAGAAATTATTCTTTCTCTGTTATTTTTGAGTTTTAGTTCCGCAGTGAACTAAAGCTTGAAAGTTACTAGAAAGTTACTCATTGACCCAAAGGAAAGCAGAATGTCAAAGTCAGCAGTTTTGTTTTGTTGCAGTTAGAAGAAGAGGAAGAAGACGACGACAAGTTTGAGATTCAAGTTTCGGTCAAAGCACCGGAGAAAGTCGGCAAGTGGTTTTGAGATGTTTTTTTATTTCTATGAAAATGTTTAATTATGTCTTCTTTTTGAATGAGGCTTATAAGGTTATGTTTTAATTCGACAAAGGGTGAGAAGCTTGTACTGCTTAATTATCACGTATCAGGTTAGTCTGACAGATCAGACAGATTCCTCAGACTGACCAAGCCCCTTGTGGTCTCTGGAGAAGTGAGTTCCGCGTGGGAGCCAAGAGGGAAGGCCCCCTTCCCTGTTGATTTGCATCATCTGACCACTGCAAAAGAGAAAATCAACATATATCGAAAAGTTGGATACAACACAGACCACAAACAGAGACAGGTGGCCTTCACCTTGGCTCACACTTGTGACTCACTTCTCCAGAGACCACAGCGCATAGGGGGGCGTGGTCAGCCTGGCGGATCTACCCAATCTGTCGGACTTTCTGCATGCAGTACAAGCGCTGATAAAAGAACGTCACATCGTAATTTCTCCTCTGAGGAAAGTGGAAGTCTACCGCCCAAACATGTGGTAATTAAGCATATCTTGCTTCTTTACACTTTTTGTCTTATTAAAAAAACCTCAATTTGATTATAGACAAGTGCTAATAATTGCAGGATTATTAACATTTCATTTGTTTTATTCCAAAGTTGAATGAGCTTTTTCTTATTTCTAGGAGATGGGATGACCGCGTACATGGCCTACAAAGTGTTCACACAGGTAACATGAGGCCCTTAATACCACTATACGACTATTTACCTCAGGGAGAACCCCATTCTAATTATTCATATTAATACAAATCTGTTGCAGAGTTACACATTATTTACTTGTAATAAAATATATAATGTATGTTGGCTGGAACATCAAAGAATTATATTTCATTATAATTGTCCAATATACCGTTAATCAGCAGAACAAAATCGCTCATTTTGAATAATTTTTGAAAAAAATTGATTGACAAATTGATTGTTCCCCACCCAATTGAACATCCCTTGACCCCTCAGACCACTGCTGTGACACGCCTACTGTTTGTACGTAATTTATCAATGGTGCCACCTGCATGTGACAGCATGTGGGATCATCAGACCTCTGAAGCTAAGCAGGGCTGGGCCTGGTCAGTGTTGTGATGGGATACCTCTGAGAACACCACCTTCATAGAATGGCAGCTGTCCTTTGGCAAGACACAGCACCCTTTTTTTGGGGGGGCGACAGTAGCTCAGTTGGTAGAGCATTGGCCTTTGAGCCTGAAGGTCGTGGTTTCGTGCCCACCACAAGACTTTCTCCACCGATTCCCACTGATGTCTGCTGTCGTTGTGTCCTTGGCAAGACACTTAAAGGAGCTATACCCGTTTCTGCAAGGTTTGAATGTTTAGCACCGCCCCTCAACTCGCTCACAGGCTTCTCATTTCCCCTACGCTCTCTTCCCACGGAGCCATCTAGTTTAAGTTGCGATCTGATATGTATGCTAACATTAGCATTAGCGCAACTTCTTGTAAGCTATACAACAATCTCTGATTAAATGGTACAAAAGCAACGCACTGCTAACACAATATATAAGTAAAAGAATACCGCTAGTTTCGCGTCCGAATGTATTGATTTAAACATTAGAATATATTTTAATATATCCATTGACTTGAATGTAATTTCAAAACGTTCTATCGATAATTCTTTCTTTAACAGAACTCTCAAACCAACAATGACCGCTGCCCTTTGGCAACGCAATCTCTGTTTGCAATTCAGGTGTGTATAATACTAACATTACTCCGCAAGTACGAGCTATCAGCGCCTGTCACTACTTTTGTCTGTGCAGAGAAGCTAGCGGGGCTAGCCGAGTTAGCCACGCTCAATAAACGAATACCAATCAATCAATCAACACCTTTTAACTCATTCACTGCCCATGACGACAAAAGTCGTTCTATTGTATAGTGACGCTCACTGCCCAAGACGACTTAGACGACTTTTTCGTGTTATTACACGGGAGGCTGCAGTAATGTCTGGCGCACCTTGTTAATGACCCACAACACTGATATATAGTGCAAATGTACCTGTAATGATAAATCACCAGTAGGATGCAGTATTGCACCACAGGAGAGGTCATAAGTCAGTGGAGAGGAGGAGGAGGAGTGTGGGGTCTTTGGAGAGCGTGCTGTGCTGCTGTAGCAGAGCGATGATAGCGTACTGTAGCATTGAGACGGATCAGATCTAGTTTAGCGATAGTATAGCAAGAGTGATGGCAAAAAAGAATAGTTATAAGCAGTATACACTGCTTCAGAGATTGACTCGCGGATCAGTGAGTGAGGTCGAGAGGGGAGAGAGGGGAGACCCGGGTGGAGGTCCGTCTCTGCAGCTACATTTGCGCGGAGCAAGAGCCCCGAGCAGAGACACACCCTCCGCCTCTCGCAGCGTATCAGCTGCTGCTGTTACTGATGCCTCGGATTCGTTCAGCAAACCTGATCATGATTTATCGGACACACTCACAAACACTCACACGCACTCACTCACTCACTCACGCACACAGACACTCACTCGCACACAGACACTCACTCACACAGACACTCACTCACACAGACACTCACTCACACAGACACTCACTCACACAGACACTCACTCACACACTGACATTCACACACACACACACAAATTCACATGCTTCATTCTATTTTATACATCTATAGTTTTATTGATCTTTGTGTTGTTGTTGTTGTTTGACGTTTTGGTTGATGGTATAGAAGAAAGTTAAATTTTCTATCTGTGAATAAATTGCCAACAATTTGCCATCAAAAGTATTATTTCAGAGTCATGTTTTTATAATTTTTGTAATGGAACAAGTGTGAAGATGTTTTGAGTTGTCACTAAAGCAGCAAAAATGCATCTAAAGTCTCTTTTCTGCTTGATATGTTCCTGTTTACATACAGCTCGTTTTCTCTGTTTTCTTGCTCAGACCAGGTGTTATGGGTGAAAGTATGCTTTGTTCTATGGCAAATAACGCAAGAACGGTAAGAGGTAGAAACAAACTGTTTTTTTCAGAGTAAAGCAGAGAGGTTAATCTTTAATTTGGTGCCCTTGGTGTTTACATCGTCTAAAAAATGAATATTCTGTGGCACTTCAAAGTTGGGTCAAATCACCTGAAATTGCTGGCAGAATGCACTTCTCAAATCTGAAAATGCCTGGCAGTCAGTGAGTTAAATGTTAATCGGAGAATACATGATACATATACATCCTTAACACACATGCATGGAAGTTTTCAGAACAAAACGTTTTCATGACAAAAGAACTGTTTTAATGTGACAAAAAGCGATAGCAATAAACCCGGAAGTAACCATTAACATGAAACGAACTTTCTTGGACACATTTGAAGAGGATCAGATTATGGATTTAGGTATATTCGGTATATAAATGGGTAACTCACCGCTGATGTTCAGAATTCTTGAACTAGTTTTTGAACTAGCTAGCTTAGCTGTTATCTGCCTAGCACTTCACGGTGAAACATTTGGGAGCTAACTATTTGATTTGCAGTCATTAAATACATTGGGAATTATAAGGGCTAATATTTGTTCAAATATGTATTTTTTAATTTTAGAATTATATTCGAATTTCGAAGTAAAAGCCCTAGTGTTTACCAGCGCTGTAGATGCTATAGGACGCAGCCTCATTCTGTTAGTGGAGAACGAGCGTCCCGCTAAGTCTCTACTTAGCACTTTTTACGCCTGAATTCATACACAGCTGAATCAACGAGCTAAAGTTTTCAATTAAATTACAGATTATAATACAACTTGAATGTAGTAATAAGCATTTTTATGAACTACTTAGAAAAAAAATCGGGTATAGCTTCTTTAACCCCTTGAACACCTGATGCCACAGTGGTGTGGCTGCGGCTGTAAAGTGCCAAACTGCCGTTGTGTCCTTAGGCAAGACACTTCACCCCCATTGCCTAGAATAAGTCTGGTGTGTGTGAATGGTTGGTGGTGGTCGGAGGGGCCGATGGCACAGACTGGTTGCCTCGCTTCTGTCAGTGTGCCCCAGGGCAGCTGTGGCTACAGTCATAGTTTATCACCACCGTGTATGGAGTGAAAGAATAATGACATGTAAAGCGTCTAAAGCCTAGCGTACATCGACAGAGAAACTGGAGACAACTAGTTGCAAGGCGGCTTTTGGCAACTGAGAGGAGATGGTGGGAGATGATCAGTTGCCGAAATCGGTCGATGTGCGCGCTCTTACAACTGGAGATAAGCAGTCGGTCTCCAGTTTCAGTCAGTTGCCCGTGTTCTACTTTTCGGCAACTAGTTGTCCTCAGTTTCGGAGATATGACCCGATGTGCGCGCTCCATGCGCCGCTCCGACAACGTGTGTGTATTGCGTGTATTGCGAGCCCGCAACAGTTTATGTCAGAAAACACACTGTAGGTGACGGACAGTTGCTGTCGATGTACGCGCTGTTATTCCCGAGACTGGTCTGCCACTGGGAGTTGCCCGTTTTCGTCAGATTGTCGATGTGTGCGGGGCAGCAACTCATATGCGACGGATATAATCAGTTGCCAGTCCGATGTACGCTAGGCATTAGGGTGTCCAAAAAAGTGCTATATATATTTTTTAAAAGAATGCATTATTATTATTTTGTAATCACAGATTGGAGTGGTTTTTGGCTCCATTCACACTAATACAAAAATAAATTCTGAGTATAAAGTGATTTAGTTTTGACAATTAGGGTCATTACATCACATGGCACTATACAGCTTTTTTTAAATCATACCGCATATGTCAAAGTAAGTAGTTTTATTTTAGTTTTTAATGGCTAAGAATAATGCATTTTATGCAATGCAATGTCACATTGCGTCTTTCAGACTTCTTTGAGTTTAATCTTCTTACATGTGTTTTGCAGACTAGTCTGGCCATGTTTCGGAACCCCACGTTCTCAGTCAGACGGCGCTACAGTGACTTTTTGGGACTTTACGAAAAACTGTCAGAAAAACACGGCCCGAATGGCTACATCGTCCCTCCTCCACCGGAGAAGAACTTGCTTGGTCTGTTCTGTCTCTTTTCACTTGTTATTGAAGACACGTATCCTCATATATGTGGTCTCTGCATCAAAAACAAAACTGCTTTTGCAAACTTGCTACACTTTGACAGGTCATCAGATTATTTAGGGTCTTTGTTGCTTGGTTGATGATTTCTCAGTTGTCCAAAAATTTTATAATTTATATTTAAATGAAAAATGTTTTTGTGTGGAAAACTTCAAAGATGTTGGTATTTATTATGAGTCAAGCCAGATCAAATTCACATGTTTAATCAAATCTCCTCGTTAAATGGAAGGTCAGTTACTCCCTGATTGGACACAATAAATTTGATTCTTTGATAGACCGATGGGGAGAAGCCTCGGTTGTCTAACAATTCTTCTTCAGTAAATCTCACTGGTGATGGTTATTACAAAGGAAAAGACTGTTTAAATATATGTAGTATGTAAATTAATACTTAATATAGGGGATACTAAAGGTTCATATGGTTAAAATTATGTATTTTTAAAGTTGAAATACAATTGAAGTTGCAGACATCACCTTTACGAGATATTTTTGCTTACAATTTTTGCTTAAATTCTTCTGTTTTGGTCAGATACATAGTAGTTTTGAGAACCTTTTCCGCTGCCTTTATAGTCGATCAAGAATTTATTTGTTCAAATGCAGCCCTATAGGCAATTCTGCTCTTTAAAACAAAAGCATTACCTCCGAATTAGTTCTGTCTCAGGTGATGGTATTTTCTCTGCCATGGAAAAATACATTTTCAAGATCACATTTAAGGGACAAATGAACAAAAACAGTAATCGATATAATTTGGTTTTATTATGTGTTATGGTGTGCTTTGTAGGAATGACAAAAGTGAAAGTTGGGAAGGAGGACTCTTCATCTGTGGACTTTCTGGAGAGACGGAGAGGAGCTTTGGAAAGGTGACTTAGTATATAAATGACACAAACATGCATGAATGAGTGTTAAAGACACAAGAAGGAAATTAATACATGCTAAAAACCAAAAGCCTCTTTCCTACTGAGCAAAAACAAAGGAATTTTGAGTAAAAATCCATGGTTGCCTCTTTCTTAAACACTAAGAGACAAAGGCGTTATTTAACCCATTGAGGCCGGGAACGCATTCCCGCATTTCTACCTCTCGAGCTGGGAGCGCCGTTGTGCAGGCCGGGAAAGTGGACATGTCTGTTAATCTTCATTGGTCAATTCTCTGGACCAATGAAATCCATCAGGATATACCATGGATGAGAATTTTCTGCGGGTCCTCAAATTCCTGCTTTTTTCCAGCTGAAAATGTAATTTCTGTGAAATGTGTGTCCGCGGACTGTTGTTTGCTGTACGTACTCAAACCGGATTCCACATCCTTCGTTCTGACCCCGGGAGCAACGGTGGCCGCTTTAACTACAACTCGGCGAAGGCACAGCTATAATGGGGTCATGTACAGAGCGCAGACCAGAACCAGAGACGTGCGGATAGAGCGTAGCAAAATGTCTCTTGCTTCATGTGTGTAGGAGCCATAAATTGAATAGAACAGTGGGCTGCGATTTGATTGGGTGATATGCCGGGTGTGGGTCACGTGGTTACTGGAGCGGTGTCTACTTAGTTCTCACCTCTGTTTTATGAATGAAATCAGTAGTAGTGAGGGGGGCTGGGTTGCCGTAGTTTTTGTTGACCCTTCGTTTGTGTTTGTTTCTTTTGTACCTTCGTTTTCTAACTGTTCCGTTCAATATCAAGACGTCTACGTTATGTTATCACCTCATCCGTGTTTCTATTCATTAAAACGCCATCAAACTTAATCCCTGATGAAGTGTGCTCTGTGACAGCCAAGCAGCGCGTCATACAATTAGACGAACCCGGTTTCTCCTCTCCAGCGGCAATAGGCACTAGAGTCGCTACAATGTGGTTGATCAACTTGCCGTAGTCCATTATAATGCAATTCTCTCTGGTCTCTCTTGGTTCTTTCTCTGGTCTCTCTCTTTTGTCTCTCTCTTGTCGTGGCTGCACTGCCCTGTAACTTTAGAAGACTTATTTTGAAATCCAGAAGTTTGTTTTGACACTTTGCAAAAAATGCTTACACGGGTCTAATCTACAGTACAGACCGAAAGTTTTGACACACTTTCTCATTCGATGAGTGTCCTTTCTTTTCATGACTATTGACTGCAGATTCACACCCAGGCTGGGCTATTTGACCAATAAGGAGAGTGGTGGGGTGCTGGGCCAGATGACCTGGCCTCCACAGTCACCGGACCTTAACCCAATCCAGATGGTTTTGGGGTGAGCTGGACCACACAGTGAAGGCGAAAGGGCCAACAAGTGCTAAGCATCTCTGGGAACTCCTTCAAGACTGTTGGAAGACCATTTCAGGTCACTGCCTCTTGAAGCTCATCAAAAGAATGCCAAGAGTGTGCGAAGCAGTAATCGGAGCAAAAGGTGCTACTTTGAGGAACCCAGAATATAAGACATATTTTCAGTTGTTCCATTCTTTTTTTTTTTAGGTACATACATAATTCCACATGAGTTCATTCATAGTTTTGAGGCCTTCAGTGTGAATCTACAATTTTGATAGTCATGGAGATAAAAAAAAAACTTGAGATGGGTGGGTGTGTCCAAACTTTTGGTCTGTACTGTACATGCCAACATTTACCAATGTTGTCCCTGGGCGACACATTTCAACACGACTCAAACATTCACTGGTCCCTCATAATATAGTCTCTTTACTTTAAAAAAAATATATATTTTGGTGTATAAATGTATATTTATGAAGTCATAGTCACGCTGCTGTGTTTGACAGATATTTGCAGAGAGTAGTTTGTCACCCCACACTGCTCCAAGACCCGGACGTGCGAGAGTTTCTGGAACGAGAGGAGGTCAGTGTTTATTTGAAATTATTGTTCCGTAGATGGTCAGTAAGTAATGTTTATTCATGTAGCCTGTTATACAGACCAAAGCACTTCACAATGTCCGGAGTTCAGATACTGTTCCAATCTCTCAACACACGGTGATGACGGAAGCGAGATAATGTTATTCTGGTGGCCACAGCAGCCCTGAGTTTCTTCTCACGCATCATCTTTGTCAGTACATATCAACTACGCTCTAGGTGTCCAGTAGCACCAAAAATAAAATGTATAATTCTAAAAAGCTCTGGTGGTGTAGCCTCTGGGTGGAGTTTTATTTTTTTTTATTTGTTTTATTTTTTAAAGGGACAGTGCATATTAAAATACGTTATGCATGTAAATATGCCAGAATTAGCCAAAGGGCTATTTTTCATCTGTAGTCCCTGGACAGTTGTTAAGTGTCCTCCTGAAGGGACACTTAACAACGGGTAGGACGGGTCACAGCAGCAGAGGTGGTGAAGCCTCTGGGTGGAGCAGGACAGGTCACAAGGCGCTTGGTTCAGACCATTTTCTCTGCTCTAGTCCAAAGTAAAAGGCTGGCTTTGAGAATCTATTAAGGATCTGGGAAAACAGCAGGACATCTATTTCAACATTTATTTACAGAAAAAGGCTTCATTCCAATAGAGTTGTAATGGCACCTGCTGAAATACTGAAATTCAATTCTACAACATGAACACAATTTATGTACCGTAATTAACGGACACAAAGGAGCACATGACCCCTTTTTTTTAGCATCCCTCCACTGGCTTACCCCTGTGTAATAGAAACGATTTTTCTGATCACTATTAGAGCTTGAGTAGGTCTAGCATTAAGCTACATCTCTGAACATTGAATTAAAAATTAAGTTTTTTTTTTTGGTAGACCTTTGCTGTTGTCAGATCAGTTTATGGACTTATTATTTTGACCCAAGTTTTTGTATCAATTCAGTTGATGCGGTTTATATGTAGGTCCGTATAAGTCCAGCAAGTACAGTATTATTATTTCTCCAGGGAGGGCTCAGTGGAAGGGCAAAAGTCTGTGAAATATTACAGATTTTGAGATGCAAAATGTTTAAAAGCCTTCTTTCGGAGTTTGAAAAGCTTATGGTTGTGTGATCTTGTGTTCAGGGAGCCCTAGATTTTGTTGAACAAACATGTACTTTTGTTTGAATTTGAAACAGTTTTGTAATGCTATATTGTGTTCTAAATAGTTTAAGGCGAATTTATGATAAAAAAAAACCCTTGAGCAATGATGTTAGCACATGCATCAAACTGTGAGATCTCATGGGAACACACACAGGTTGTTCTGTGTAGAGTTGTCTCCGTAGGTTTCCCCAGGTGTTCTGGGTTCCTCTACCACTAAAAACATACGTTAGGGCTTAACGTAATAGTGATGGTCGGAGGCTATGCTCCAGAGTGTTCGGCGTCTTCACTGTGTGTGGAGAAATTAGAAATTGCCCACTTACTGTTTTAGACTTGTTTCAAATCCGTAAAATCCTCATCACTGCACAGACATTTCCAAAGACACATGGATCCTGTTTCTTTGTATTTTAACAATAGTTTCCTCGCTGTGCTTTCCTCGTGCTGATGTTTGAACACGTGTTTTTCTCCACAGCTGCCCAGAGCAGTGAACACTCAGGCGCTGAGCGGAGCCGGATTCCTCAAAATGATAAACAGAGCAACAGACGCCGTCAGCAAGATGACCATCAAGATGAACGAGTCGGACGTGGTGAGACAGAACGGAAATATCCTCAATGCTGAAGAGATTTCTGCTCTTGGCTTTGAGTGCACACAGGACACAGCACACAAAACAAAGTAAAGCAATTTCAGGGCCACTATGAACTTGCAACATTGATGGTAATATTACTACAATGGTGTGTTGTACCTCTTTTTAAAGACAATTTAAAGAATTTATTTTTGTCTAAAATTTGAGCCCAGCACATTATTGTAAATTGTTAATTTAAAAATATAAATCAATGGCCAATCCTTTAACATTGACACAATTTTGATTCAGTCTGAACTAACCTTAGTTTTTTTTGTTTTTCTGAAATAGTTTTGTTAAGTAAAATCTATCAGAAAATATTTTCTGGTTTAATAAAAGTTATCCTTTTGTCAAAAACCCTTTGTCATGTAAAAAAAAAAAAAAAAAATATCCACACATGCAAAGATGAGCTTCAAACAGTTCGACACCCCTGCAATAATACAACAACTTACAGGCTGGTGTGTCAAAGCAACCCTGCATTTAACCTGCCTTGCCACCTAGTGTTTTTAACAGTGAGCCTTTGAATAGGGAATAAAAGAATGGCTCTATGAATCCCGAATGACGTGGGTACTGGATGATGTCAGAAGGGATGAAATAAAACCAAACTGTTTTCTAGGCCAGTGCTTACATTTGAGTCATGTGAAGAAGGTTCTAAAACTACAAGTCACATGAGGGGCAATACTTTGCATAAAGACAGATTAACAGGAGGGAGGTTGGAGCTGAGCAAAAACATTTGTTTGACGTCCCAGGCTGTTGTTGTGTGAGAAAAAACACACAATGATTTATGTTCACTGTAAAAACTGAACAGCGCTTTAAATGGTTTCTTGTGCTTTTATTCTACACAAATCTGTGTTGCACGCATCATCACACACCTTCCCTCCTTCAGCCACATCACCCCTGTCCTATAATAGCTGCTCTGGCTTTATTACAAAATCCCACTTTTCACTTTCAAAAACCTTCAAAGACCTCCTCGCCCTTCCATATCTCTCTGAGCTCCTCCACATCAGCACACCTGCCCACTCCCTCTGCTCCTCATATCTCCAGCTCCTGGTGCCTCCTGCCTGCCTTGTCACTGGGGAGAAGAGCATTCAGCTGGTCTGCAACACTGACACTCTCTCACACTTCCAAACTGCACTCACAACACATATATTCAGACTAGCCTATTCGGTGTCACCCTGTGGACTGGCCTCTGTCTAGCCTCTCATTCTGGTCTCTCTCTCTCTTTCCACAGTCTGTTTTTGCTTTTAAATTTGTACCATTTGTAAAGTGACATATTTTGGTGCCCAGAAAGACGACATATATTTACAATGTATTATTATTGCTATTGCATTACACCCACTCACAATAGCAGGCAACCATTCAGTTATGATATAGTTTAGACATTCTGTGACGTTGTGTTGTTTCTGTACTCAGTGGTTTGAGGACAAGCTTCAGGAAGTGGAGTCCTCAGATCAACAGTTCCGGAAGCTTCACGCTCTTGTTGAGTCTTTGGTCCTTCACAGAAAAGGTACATTCAAACTGGCTACTTTTTTTTACTTGTATGTGATTCCACGATTGTATTAAAGCTGGCATACTTCACTTTGCACCTTTTACATTTTGAATCGCAGTGTCACAATATCCTCTCTCTCAAAACTTTTATTCTATCACTTGTTTTCACATGCGCATATTTTCAACCTCTATCACATCTTTTAGATCAGTGTTACGGATCAAGTCCAGATCACGCAGCCAATCAGCCCTCAGCTCTCAAAGCCTCAAATAGTTCCTCATTTATTAAAATGTATTCTATTCTATTATTACTCTTATGGTCTTCGTCTTAGAAAACATAGTATCTTTTGCAGATTAGTAAGAAAGAGCCCTGTCAGTCACATTGATTACATGTTTAATTTTGATGTAGTTTGAAAGTTACAGGTTTAAATAACCCTCTATTCCGATTTTAGCTAATTACTAAAATAGTGCTTTCGATTTGATCTCACAGCCCTCATCTACGTCTCTTAGGTCTTGGGAAGAAGTCGTTCCATTGAATCCTTGTCTTCACGCATCTTTCCTCCTCTAAACTCTCTGCTGGTTGTCTCTCTTTGGTCAGAGCTGTCCACAAACACAGCAAGTTTTGCCAAGAGCACGGCAATGCTGGGCAGCGCGGAGGACAACACGGCCCTGTCCCGCGCCCTGTCGCAGCTGTCCGAGGTGGAGGACAAGATGGAGCAGCTGCACCAGGACCAGGCCTCCAACGACGCCTTTGGGCTCGCCGAGCACATCGCCGACTTCATCAGACTGCTGGGAGCCATCAGGGTGAGGAGGCCACTGGAGACAGACTGGTCAATTGCCTAAAGCGCTTTTCCTTCTGCTCCCAGCCCCACACACAGAATCACAGCTTGAAACGTAGTATAGGATGTATGATCCAACACGGTTTCAGATCCTTATATGGCTCATATCTAGATTTACAAAAACTATATCAGAATATAAACACCGGGATCAAAGATTTCGCTAAACCATGAACTTTCTAAGCCCAAAATGGTGAGTGTGACACAAACGTTTACTGAGCTAGAGGAGTTTACTTTTCAATGTAAGTGAATAGGCAAGTAAAGCGAGTTTGCGCAAAACTCTGGCGTTGTGTACTTCCATCTATATACAGTTTATAATTGGATAATTGTCTTTTTGGAACCGATTTGTAAAGTCACAAAAGGCTGGTTGTCTGGATCCAGGATGAGAGAAACTCTACAGAGAATTAAAAAAACTAAAAGGAGAATGAGAGGAGTTTTGACACTTTAGAATGTTTTTGGTCAGAGGACTTTGATTCGCCTATGTTGCGTCATAAGTCACTTTTTCCTGTCCATGTTATCATCCCTAAAGTGTGGTTTATGACCGGAACATTTTTGTGTTAAACGCAGGGCTCCTTCGACCACCGAATGAAGGCGTGGCAGCGGTGGCAGGACGCTCAGTCCATGCTGCAGAAAAAGAGGGAGGCAGAGGCTAAACTGCTTTGGGCCAACAAACCCGACAAGCTGCAGCTCGCCAAAGAGGAGATTGCTGAGGTAAGAGTTCCGGGTCCCATGTCTGAGTGGTCGCCTTATATGTATTCTTGTCAAAGTATGTGGAAAAAGGCCACACATACCCTTCATCAGTCTATTTAATAAAAAAAACAATGTTCCAGATCTTCTCCACTCCGGTGGCCTCCAAGAATCGTTCAGCAGCATTCCCCTTCATAGCAGAGAGAGGGTTAGATGAATGGCGATGTCCTGATGCACAGGGGCTGTCTGTACTCTCAGATATCACTGTTTTAGGCTTCAATAAAGAAATGTTTATTTGACAAACACTTGCACACACGCACACCTCAAATAAGCAGGATCAAAAATTACTCTTATTTTATTTATTATTTTTGATCAATCAAAAAGAGGCTACGTGTGAAGTGAATCACTAAGATGGAACTTTGTGTAAACTGTTTTTTCAGTGGGAGGCCAAAGTCACGCAGTACGAGAGGGAGTTTGAGCGAGTGTCAGCCACGGTGCGCAAGGAAGTCCTGCATTTTGAGGTTTGTTTTAAAACGGGTTAGGGTTTGCTGTTGGAAACTTCCAACAGCAAACACACTCTTGCATAAACCTCAATCAGGGCTTACAAGAAGTTCCCTCTTCGCCCCTTTCCTTCCTCAGAATCCAAATCTACACATCCATGCAACTTTTAAACCGCTCGATCAGGTTCTGTTTTGGCCGCCTCACTCCTCAAGGGCTGCCCAGTCTCAGAGAGGAATTCCCCAGCGCCAGGGGCCATGTCTCCTCCCTTTCAGCCCGATGCAATTCATCACATCTCTTCTAAGAAAGGATTAGTTTCACTGATAATTAAGCAAATACTGTTAGATTGGTTAGAGATGGATGACTAAAAATCTTGGATAGATGTCAGCACTCCTTCCTCAATTGGAGGAGTTCAAGTCTCTCAGGTCTTGTTCATGAGTGAGGGAGCATGAAATTGACAATCGGATCGGTGCAGCGTGTACAATGATGCAGGCGCAGTATCGACTGTTGTGGTGAAAAGGGAGCGGCGTCTGTAGTCAAAGCTCTCGATTTACCACTCAGTCACCGTCCCCTCCACATGGAGAGGAGCCAGTTGAGGTGGATTGGCCAAGTCTGGCCATCTCTGCAGAGACTGCTGCCCCTCACGACCCAGCAATGCAAAGCGGAAGATAATGGATGGATGGATGTATATTCAAGGATTAATATAAAACACCTGATAGTTTATCAAAGAAACATGTTTGTATGAATGTGTTTTCAAGAAGCATGAACAAAATCACTTCAAAAGAAATTGGAATTTTCAAAGCTTACCACGACTTCTGTCCTGATTCATTTGCATTTTCTCTTCATACCTGTTTTCTGCTTTTGTTTTTCAGAAAGAGCGAACACAGAACTTTAAACGTCAAATAATGAAATATCTGGAATCTCTGCTTCGGTCGCAGCATCAGGTGGGTAACTGTTCGAACTTCAGGATCCACCACTGACTGGATTGGACAGTGTTGAATGTCTGTGTGACTGGTTGAAATACTAACCCGTCTAATTATGTAAAATCATGCGACCAATTTTCTCGCATGGCAACTTTAGAGCCAATCAGGTGCAAGGCTGGTCCATTTTTCTATTTCGCTACCATTTTACTAAAGAAAATCAGAATATAAAGTTCTGTCCTTACACGCCTGTCTCAAACCTACGGCCCTTTCAGATCCAAGTACATCAGTGAGGCCCCAGCTGAGTTTGGGCTGAACCACAGACTAAGTGTTGTTGGAAGCCTTAATGCAGAAAAAGCCAATTTGAACAGAAGCTTGTCAGAGCCAATTTCCTTATTTGGAGATTTCTTCCTGTTATGGTGCAAATCTAACCCTGTGGGACAGAGGTGTTGCTAAGAGTGTTAAGGCAATCTGGGGTTTTCCGTGCAAATGAAGGCATCTGATCAATCCTATGGCTCATTACTGGTTTAACAAAGACAAATATAAAAAAAAAAAATTAAACACCAGGATCACAATGAGCTAGAGGAGATGACCTTTTACGTTGTTTGCATTCTCCATCTATGAGTAGATGGACTCTATCTATAGTCTATGATTTAAACACTAATAATTTACTTTGTCTTGTTTGCAGCTGATAAAATACTGGGAGGCCTTTTTACCCGAAGCAAAAGCGATCGCCTGATGTCGTCCTCTTCTTGGACACTTTACCTCTTTGCCTTGAAAACCAAGCATGGAGCCGCAGAAAGGGAAACAATCAACCGGTTTTATAATCCTCTGTAATCTCTGATAGTCGCTCTATTGTATCAATAATTGTATATTTCACTTATTCTTTCACAAATATTTTCTTAATACAATGGACATATATATATATATAAAAGATGTGATTACACATTTGAGGCACTTTCTAGTTTTCTGTCTTGAGAAATCGCTCTGCCATGCTCCACATTATTGCATTAATCTCTAGTTTATATCCTACTTTTAGAATACATCTTTGCCAGGTATTGTTCCTCATTTGTGCAAAGTGTAAATTTCTGATAAGATCCTAATTGGCCAATATTTGTAGTTTTTTTGTAAATATATATATTTGGATGTTTCTACCTGCACTCAGCCACTCATTTTGTTGAACTTTAGCTGTGGATTTTGAAAAATTTATATTATAGAATATTGAAAGCTGGTTTGAGGCTGGTCCCCTCACACACTTTCTCCAGCTCATTTGGTGGAATCCTGAGGCGTTTACTGGCCAGCTGAGCGTCATAGTCCTCCAAAGTGTCCTGGGTCTGCCCCTGGTCTGACACACAGAAGGAGCTCTGACTCTGAGCTCCTTCTGTGTGACTGAGATCTTCACCCTATCTCTAAAGGAGCTCTCAGCTACTCTGCCAAGGAAACTCATGAGGGCAGCTTGTATTTGTGATCTCGTGCTTTCGGTCATTACCCAAAGCTTATGACAAGAGGGGACGGAGAATGAGCAGTAAATAGACTGCAGACGCTGTTCCCTCTTCACCACAACAGTCTGTTACAGCGACCATATCTCTAGATTTAAATAAATAAGATGGTGCATTGTGTCCAAAGTTTTTCTAATTTGGTAAAAAAAAAAAAAAAAATTTATTGTAATTTATGACATCAGCCTTAGTTTTTTTTTTCTGAATTGCGTTCACAGATTCCTAGCAACTGACCCACAACAAACCAGTATCCGGGGAAATCCCTTGGTAACCATGGCTTCCAACACTCTGGCCAATCTGTTAGAACACTTAAGTACCTACTCGGCCTGAATAGAAAAAGTTCCAGATCTCTTTATTAACTTTTTTTTTTTTTTTCCTATGTTATTAGTGGGAGAAATCTCTAGTTGAATGCAATGTTTTGGAGCTGAGCAGCAAAGCAAAGTTTTCTCCATGCGGGAAAGTGAATCTTTAAAAGCAGTAGGTTTGACCTCAGGCTTTTGTTTACGGCTTGACGAAGAAAGGCCAGTGTTCACCTGATAAACACTATAAAAGGGAGAAATGGACACAATTTTGTAAGCACTTGAATTGTTTGAGAGATAATTACTTTCGAAAATTAAGAAAAACAGCGATTGTATTGATTTTGAGTGCGTCCAAATGTGGAGAAGGATTTGTTGAATAAATGATTTTTGTTCTGAGTTTTACCAGTTGCGAAAGCTTAACAGTGGTTTTCATCTTGCATTAATCATCAAAAAGAGAGCTGGACTTAAGCTCCAACCGCAAAAAACATTCCCACCCTTTCTGTGTAAAACTGCTCTCAAACTTTTCTCTGGTGAATGTACTGCAAGTCTGTCAGCAAGAAACTCCTCGTCCCTCTGGTGGTAGGCAATTGGAACTTATATATATATATATATTATATATATTATATATATTATATATATATTTATATATATATAATATATATTTAATATATAATATATATATATAATATATAATTAATATATAATATATATTTAATATATATTTAATATATATTATATATTTAATATATATATAAAATATATATTATATATTTAATATATATTATATATTTATATATATAAAATATATATATTATATATTTAATATATATTATATATTTAATATATATATATATATTTAATATATATTATATATTTAATATATATATTATATATTTAATATATATATTATATATATATTATATATATATTATATATTTATATATATAATATATATATTTATATATATATATTTAATATATATATTATAATATATATATATATATATATATATTATATATATATATATATATATATATATATATATATATTATAATATATGTATATAATATATATATATATATATTTATATATATATAATATATTATAATATATAATATATATATATTATAATATATGTATATAAATATATATATAATATATATATTATATTATAATATATATATATATATATAATATATTTATTATAATATATATATATATTTATATAATATATATTTTATATTATATATATATATATTTATATATATATATATATATATATATATATATATATATAAATATATATATATATTTATATAATATATATTTATATTATATATATAATATTTATATATATATATATATATATATATATATATTATATATATATATATATATATATATATATTATATATATAATATATATTTCAGTTTTGAAACTGACGCCGGCAACTTAAATCATAACTCTTATTTTAAAATTATGGCCATGGGACACGGTACTATTATGTACTGTCAGTATTTATCAATAATAAAAAATAATGAACAGTAATATTTGATGGAGAAAAACTTGACCATGACAAAGGGCCTCAAGGATTTGAATTACATCAGCCCCTCGTTTGAGTTCTAAGAAACAACCCACACTAAGTGATTTCGAAGTAGCAGCTCTGTTTTAAGGCAGTAAAATCCCTCACCATACACTTTTCTAACCACCTGAACTCACAAGTCACAGCTGATATCAAACCTGTTGGTTGTAGATAGCCTACATACACTGTAAATACGGCTGCGGAAAACGTTTAGGGGCAGGAGCAGGACTGAGAAGTACGGGAGATCTAAAAAGTTAGAGCTAAATCCAACAGCCTGGTGTTTCTGTGTTGTAGTTTTATCATTGTGTATGAAGTAAAAGAATGACATGTGTCCAAAAGAACGTTATTTAAAAATTAAACTATGCATTATTATCATTTGGAACCAAGTTGATCCTTGGATAATACCTCAAAAAAATCTTCCATTCGGGACATACTTACTTTATTACAGTAAGGCCACCAATTATAGAACTTAATATTTTCAGATTTTTACACCAAAATAAAGTCTTAAAAATACAAATCATGAAGACATGTTACTGGACACAAGAGAAGGTGGTCGAACATATCCAAAGCAGCTTTTTGAAGCAGAACTGTTCACGTCTTCAGGTGTAAAACAAACTGACAATCTCTCTCCAAATCCATAAGTGAATCATAGCCGTGGAAACACCTACGAACGTCCATTTCCTCCACGTTTCAAAAGACGTGTGCGACTTCATCTTCTCATAGCATCGAGTGCATGTCTATTTAAACTCATTTATGTGTGATTTGATAGAAACGTCCGAGCTACGGATTTGAGGAGTCCTCCGTGTTTGAAGCAGGCGACGTCTGCGGCGTCTTTGAAAAGCGCTGTGACACGGAAACTTCTCCCGTCGCTCGTCTGCGGGAAACGAGACAAAACAAAACTGGTGAAGATACATCATAACATGTGAGATAAACAAGTTAGAAGGATATACATCTTTGTAAAGTCCTCCAAGACAATGTTGTGATTTAAGGCTATACACAAATTGAATTGAAACAGACTTGACTTAAAGTAGTACTAGAATTTAATATGCTGCTATCCAGAATATATAACTACAATATGTGTTTATAATATTTCGGGTTTTCATTTTGATATGTTCAGATGAATTATGTTAAAAAAACTGCTTTGAAGTGGCACCTTTTCACTTCCGCATAGAAACACTAGGGGGAGCCAAAATGGCGGCGATGACGTAGGAGAAGGGTATCCAAGCCCCGGCGATCCAAGATGGCGCCCTGTTCAAATGAATGGTTGTGCTCAGTGGCACTTTGTGACGGCATGGGGGCTGAAAGATTAGCGGAAGTTGCCTGAAACTCGCAAAGATCTATGGGAAACTCGCCTGTATTTGGGCATCGTCTGGTCCTCCCGGTTCTGCGCAGTGGAGGATCTCCCATAATGCGTTGCGCCAAACACGCGTGTGTGGGTCTCACACCGGGTCTCACGCACGTGCACAGAGGGGCTCGGCCGCGCTCTGACCAATCAGAGCAGTTCATCAGAGCGGGAGTTAGAGCGAGAGCCAGACGAGCAGAGTTTGTGGCACTAAAGTGTGGATTTAAACAAAACCGAAGGATTTAAGAAGAAAAAAAGTTCAGGATGACAAGGGACACTAAAATCCCCACAAAATCCAACCTTTATGAAAGCTGTAGGTTCTCTTTCAGCTGAGGTCGAGCTGATTTAATATGCATTTAGTTCTATGGGGAACATTTCTGGGTAGCCCACGTGAATTTAGTCTGGTCTAGTCTGCAGTACTGCGAGAATCCCCCGAGCACATGGGTTATTCAGCTACAAGCTAGTAATACCCTATCCAGTTATTATAATACATCCATGAGGGTATCTCACTGCAGCAGCAGCAGTCTGGGCTGAATCTGTAGGAGGTTTCACTGTCATCTGAACAAGGTATAAACATATTTTCATCCGTTTTGTACATAATAGTGTGCAACTCTTTTAACCTTAGCCTTATTTGTGAGATTCAAACAAACTAGTGTTGGGCAAGTTAGCTAACTCTACTTGATATCATAAAACATGCTAACAAGGCTAATATTCGTGTTTACATTATGCCAGTCTCACTTTGGTTGCCTTAGATTTATTTACCACAATGTACATTGTAATATCCATAAATGCTAATCAAAATAACTTGAATTAAATAAATATTTTACTTTTATGAACAAAAAGCTGCAGAAGTTGAAAACATAGACTACATGTGATGCAATCATTGATAAAAATGCTAATTAAACCGTTAATAGGTGTTAGCATTTATGGATATTACAATGTACATTGTGGTAAATAAATCTAAGGCAACCAAAGTGAGACTGGCATAATGTGAAAACGAATATTAGCCTTGTTAGCATGTTTTATGATATCAAGTAGAGTTAGCTAACTTGCCCAACACTCACAAATGAATCTCACAAATAAGGCTAAAAGGTTAAAAGAGTTGCACACTATTATGTACCAAACAGATGAAAATATGTTTATACCTTGTTCAGATGACAGTGAAACCTCCTACAGTTTCAGCCCAGACTGCTGCTGCTGCTGTGAGAGGTCCTTCTCCTACGTCATCGCCGCCATTTTGACCCCCCCTAGCGTTTCTATGCGGAAGTGAAAAGGTGCCACTTCAAAGCAGTTTTTTTAACATAATTAATCTGAACATGTCAAAATGAACACCCGAAATATTATAAACACATATTGTAGTTATATATTCTGGATAGCAGCATATTAAATTCTAGTACTACTTTAAGTGATTGTCTGGAGTTTGTAAGAAAAAAGAGAGAGGTACATGATTTGGAAAAAAAAAACAGCCCAAGCTCCCTCCCCCTTCCTTCCCGATTGGTCTACGCCTACGTTTACGTAACAATCAATCAACACATTTAAATGTAATCGGAGAATACATTATACATATACATTATTAATACACATGCACAGAAGTTTTCATAATTATTTGTTAACGTTTTCATGACAAAAATAATGTTTTAATGCACAAAAAAGCGATCGCGGTAAACCCGGAAGTAGCTGTTATCATTAATTGAACATTATAGGACACATCTGCAGAGGATCTGATTATGGATATAGGTTCATTATATAAATGTGTAATTCAGCAAGGACGTTCAGAATTCTTGTAGTTTCAGAGCCTAATGGAGGCTTGATTCGGAGGCTCCGTGAAAAACAAACAACTGAGCATGCTCGTAGCTGCGATGATTGACAGCCCTTGGCATCACTTGATTGGTTGAATTGGACGGCATCGTGGATTTTGAGCTATATTTAAGAGAAGGGAAGGCGGGACTTACTCGTAATATTAGAATTCATAAAATGACTTATTTTATATCAACATTTAAGGCCAGGAAGTCAATTTAATACAATTCTTAAAATTTGTAATTCATTAGACTATCACTTTGCTGTCTGAAAAAGCTGTGACAGAGGCCAAAACAATGCACGTATTCTTCTATAGCTAGTTTTCACAGACTGTTTTGATGCTCAAGGAACTCGTTACATGGATTTAATTTCATAGTTCCATGTAGTTGCACCCCAACTTTAAATGGCCCATGGTCTGGCTCTGTACCTGGACGGTCACTTGCTGGTTTGGGCACAGCTCTTCTGGCAGCTCCACACTGATGGTCTCTTTCCCGCTGAGCTCTAGGACGTCTGCGTTTTCCCCGAACTCGAACCTCAGCGGGGCAATGCCCATCCCCAGCAGCTGTCTGCGGTGAAGCTTCTCAAAGCTCTGGGCAATCACAGCTCGCACGCCCTGAGGAGAGAGGAGAGGGAACTGTAAGAGAGAGAGGGAGAGGACAGACTAGAGAGGACAGGGGACTCTGAGCGAGTGAGGAGGACTGAGGAGAGGAGAGGGGACAGTGGGAGAGAAGGAGAGAGGGTAGGAAAGGGGACCGTGAGAGGGGAGGGAGGACAACTGAGGAACCATGAGGAAAGGATTTCTAGATTTAGGTACATATAACCCCAGTACATGTAACTGAGGTGCACATTTCCATCCTCTAGTTTCTTATTCAATAAAATACAAGTTTACTCACAAATGTCTCTTGCTGTGATAAAAAATGTACACGTTACCATAAGATACGGTCCTTTGGCGACCCAATCCCTGGAGTTCCCAGAGCCGTAGTCTTTTCCGGCTAAAATCACCAGAGGAACGCCGTCTCTCTGATAACGCTCTGCTGCCTCGAACACATCCATCTGTGCAGAAAACATGTATAGTTTTATATTTACAAGAGAATGTGTAGAAGTGCTGGATGGAGGAGAGTAACTGCAGTATATTTGTAAAGCACAGTTCATAAACAAGGCAACCAATGTGCTTAAAACAATCACACAAGGCAATAAAATCGTAAATAATCACAGCGCATTAAAAATTGGTGAAGGTGCAATCAGTGGCGGAGCCAGACTTTTAAACAAAGGATGGCCAGCAAGGGTTTTTTTAAGGGGTCCACATTTATACTATTCAGACATTTTATTTCACACAAAAGCTGGCTAAACAATACATTTTAATCTTAATCTTATCTTTATTCTTTATATAAAGTGAACTGAGTGCATTTCAAAGCAAAAAAGTGCATTTAAACACTAGTCTGAAGAAAAAAAGTGCAAAATGACATTTTTACAGGATATCAGCAAAGCAAAATCATGAGGTTCTGGTGTAAAGCAGCAAAGATTTTGATAAACTCTTCCATATTTAGCCCCTTAGCTCTCCTTGACTCTACACTGAGGATGACTCAATCTATCATCTGCCATGGTCGTTCTGAGATGGTTTTTGATAAGTTTTAGGGCAGAGAAACTTATTTCACAAGATGCAGTACTGACAGGTATTATGGAATGGTTCCAAAAAGACAAGGGAGTCCAATAGGGACTCTAATCCATTTTTATCTCTCCTCCCAAGAAGCCGCCTAGTTTGATGTACCTCATGCTTAAGATCCTGACTCAAAGGTTCTGCCAAATGCAAACAGGGGCTCTTTCAAAAATGAAGGATTTTTGGGGTCAAGCGACTGCACTCCTCCATAATCTGTCTTTTTTTGTGAAAAGCACCTCTCTAATTCTGCCAATAGACAATCCAGCACCTGACTGTGACTCCCTCTTATCATCTGAAACTGAATTATATAAGCTATATTTATATACAACACAGCAAATTCCTCATCATGAAAATTCTCAAAACATACTGCCTGTCTGACTTTCAGGTGAGGTTTCATTATACTGATCTATAGGCGTTTTCTTTACAAAAACACGACATAAGAGACCCCTCTCCCATTTCTGTGTGGAATGAGAGAAAAATGCCCAAAAATAACAATTTTAAACCGCTTTTTGACTCTGGTCTGTGAAAGGCGGTATATAAATAAACATTACTTACTTACTTACAGTGGGGCAAAAAGTATTTAGTCAGCCACCGATTGTGCAAGTTTTCCCACTTAAAATGATGACAGAGGTCTGTAATTTTCCTCTATAGGTACACTTCAACTGTGAGAGACAGAATGTGAAAAAAAAATCCAGGAATTCACATTGTTGGATTTTTAAAGAATTTATTTGTAAATTATGGTGGAAAATAAGTATTTGGCCACTTCAAACAAGGAAGATCTCTGGCTCTCACAGACCTGTAACTTCTTCTTTAAGAAGCTCTGCTGTCCACATTGCTACCTGTATTAATGGCACCTGTTTGAACTTGTTATCTGTATAAAAGATAGCCCAAATGTAGCCCAAAATGATATTTCAACCACTGATAATCTCCCTCGATCTGGGGCTCCACGCAAGATCTCATCCCGTGGGGTCAAAATGATCATGAGAACGGTGATCAAAAATCCCAGAACCACACGGGGGGACCTGGTGAATGACCTGCAGAGAGCTGGGACCAAAGTAACAAAGGTTACCATCAGTAACACACTACGACAACAGGGAAACCAATCTTGCAGTGCCAGACGTGTCCCCCTGCTGAAGCCAGTGCATGTCCAGGCCCGTCTGAAGTTTGCCAGAGAGCACATGGATGATACAGCAGAGGATTGGGAGAATGTCATGTAGTCAGATGAAACCAAAGTACAACTGTTTGGTATAAACTCAACTCGTGTTTGGAGAAAGAACAACATACCTACTGTGAAGCATGGGGGTGGAAACACATTATTATTATTATTATTATGCACATTTTTACATTGGCGTCTTCCGAGGGGGGCAATGGGGGTGGCAAGGATATTTTTAGAGGTGGCAGTGGCCACCCTGGCTACCCCTCTGGCTCCGCCACTGGGTGCAATCCTTCAGTTGTATGCAGAGCTATACATAACCGTTTTAAACTGGATTTGAACAGTGTCCCATTCTCATCCCTGAAGAAAGGTTCTGACATTCAAAAATAAGTCTGAAATGTCAGTCAATAGACGCGAAGCGCCCCCTTCTACATGGACATAGTTTATAAAATACACTAAGAAATGGTGACTTCTGATGAATTCTAACATTGAAAAAGAAGGGAAATCATTACCTTTGAAAGCTTAACAAATGTATTTTGTGTGCGAAAACATTTCAAGTAGACTAGGGGTCCCCAAATAAATTGGCAAGAGGACACAAAACTTGATCAGTAAATAGATTAGGGTCCGGACATCATGTAACCTGACAAAAACATGTTTTGTGACGTGGTTGAATCGACAAATATTTTATTTTCTCAAAATCAATACGAGCAATTTTTCATTTTGGATTTTGCATAAATATACAGGAGCATAAATACACTTTTTGCTAATACTTTTATAATATGATTTTGGTGTATACATTCAGACTAAACAGCATCGAAAGTATGTTCACGTCCATCGCTCCGTATAGTGCATCACTCCCGTCTGGGTCCCAGCAGGTGGATATATCAGGGTAACACAAACTGAAGTGAAGCCAAATGAATACACATTTGTTCGTAGTAACGCCTGAGTTTTGAAGCGCCAAGGTAGCAGCGCCGGTCTGCCCCCTCTTGTGGTAGTCACTGGCTAAAGCAAACTTTGGCAACAGAAGGCTCCTAATTAGTATGTTGTTAGGGCTCATATCTGGATTCATAAGAACAATATCACAATATAAACACCAGGTTCAAAGAGAGAGCTAAACCACAGACTTTATAATCCCAAAATGGTGAGTGTGAATCACATTAGGGATGTAAAAAACTATGAATTTTCATGACCGACCACCGAGCCTCATTAACCGGTTGAAACCGGTTAACCGCGTAGTTTAAAATAGTCCATGTTCTTTGAAATAACAGCCATTTTGAGCCGCGTACTTTTCATAAGTGCAGCTCTGCGTTCTACTGGATCAGAGCCGAGACAGCGGCGCCCAGACCCGCAACAGCTCCGGCACCTTTGCGCACAGAGAACTCCTTTTTTAATCTTCCCATTCTGCTGTGCTGCGGGTTAATACCAGAACTTTCTAGCAGCAAACGACGGCTCGTTCACATGGTCAGAGCAGCGAGTGACGAGCCGCGTCTCACAGGTCTTCACAAAAGTTTAAATACAAGTGATGTGTGTGGAGCTGATCCCGAGGACCATAAACACAAACATGTTCCATGTGGTTTGACTGGAGCCGCGTATTTGCGCGAAACCTTTGGGCTCCGTGACACAGGAGCGCGACAGACCGGTATGTGTGTGTGTGTATGTGTGTGTGTGTGTGTGTGTATGTATATGTGTGTGTGTGTAAATGTAAGCTCCAATGTAGTTCTGACCCGCGCCAGTGTGCAACTTTGACGGTAACAGAGGGGAGAGATGATGCGTGTGGATGTTACGTATGGAGAGGGGGAAAGTGTGTGTGTGTGTGTGTGTGTGTGTGTGTGTGTGTGTGTGTGTGTGTGTGTGTGTGTGTGTGTGTGTGTGTGTGTGTGTGCGTGCATGCATTCGTGTGTGCATATGTGGCTCGTGCGGCGTGAGAGTCGTCCCGGAGTTTATAATACATGGGCGCACACAGCTAGATACAGACCCGCTCGTCACACCGTGCAAATAGGGCTTAAAATAGCGTTATTAAGAGACCTCCCCTCTCCCCTTTTTCTCTTTTTTAACCGACAGCTTTGACCGGTTAACGCTGTGACGGTCAACCACCGGTTAAACGGTCGCCGATTTACATCCCTAAATCACATGATCAGAGGACTTTATGTAAGTCAATAGAAGTCAGAGCGACTTGGAGAAGAACTTTGTCCATGAGCATTTCCCTATCGGGCTTCATTGTGCTCGAGAGGTAGCATTGTCCATCTACAGTCCATGGTTTCTTCATGTGTGTTTGCTCACCGTTTGTCCAGATGGCACGTGCAGAGTTTTAGGGCCGGTTTTCCCCATCAGGCGGTTATGGAGTTTGGTGCTGGCGAAAGTTCCTCTCGTCATCACTGCATCGTTTCCTCGTCGAGCGCCGTACGAGTTAAAGTCTCGAGGAGTCAGTCTGAGAAACATCACAAACACATGAGGGATTGTGGCTAAAACAGGTCTGTTCACATCAGTCTGCACTGGCCCAATAGGTCCTGGTGAATCCCAGTGCCGTTCTGTCTGGTTTGTATTAGAGTTTAAGTTCGGCCCAAAGAACTCAACTCATTTCTGTAATCACATGTAATTTGTTAACAAATTGTTACTCTTCTCTGTGGTATTAAACCCTTGGGACAGGCCCTTCTGTGAGGTGTTAAACCAGGTGGAAGGGGTCAGGTTGGAAATGCTGGAAAACTTTTAAATGCCATCTTCTACAGTACAAAACATTAGCCCTTTTAAGCACACGCTTCTTAGGAAACACATTGTGTTGCTAAGTTGCTAGTAGAGAGAGAAGACTAGGTTGACCAGTTCCAAATGACATATCAAACTTGATAACAATACAGCAACAGACAAAGCAATTTGATTTCTAGGGTCAGCTATATTGGCAAAGGAAAAATTTGTCTAAAAGGGTATCAGGAGGAGATTAGATACACAAACACTAACTTACACATTTATGCACCTCCATATTCTGCCTCCTGGCATAAAAAGAAAAAACAAGTTGGGTTCTCCAACTTTAATTCTGCTGTTTAATAAAAAAGCACAAGCTAAGAAAATGAACTGACAAATCAAAAAATTAAATGGTCCAGCCCTTCACAATATGCTGACACCCCTTTGTGGCCTCTTGAGAAGATAAGTGCCCACACCTACTATTTCTATGAGATCACCAATGCTTCTCAAGACGGTGGACGTGCACGTCCAAAGGGTTATTATTCTTTATCTTTATTTCAGACTCAAATGTAATTGGTCCATAAAAGAACAAGAATTCAAAATAAGAAAAGGCAGTGTTTCAGCCCAGTGCCTCCTCAGAGCAGAGGTGCAGCGACATAGTTGTGTTGTTTTGTCTCTCACCGTTTGCACTGTAGATACTTGGCGGCTGCGCTGGTTCTGGAGATGCTTCCCGCTGGAGAGATGTGGTCTGTTGTCACATTATCACCGAGAAACAGCAAGACGTGAGCGTGTTCTATGGACAACGGCTGTGGCCAATCCTTACTCTGGAAAACGCAATATTAACACAGACACACAATAAAAGAGCAGAGTTAAAGGTGGAACTAGCACAAAATCCTGGATACCCTACTTTATATCCCCCAGAAAAAAACTAATATTTGTCCAAAAGACTAGAAAAAGTATAATGTTGTGAACAGACCCCAAAAGGCTGTCTTCATCAAATGAGAAAATAACTGTATCTTTTGTGTGCGAAAAAGTCACAATCCGACTCTTTGAGCTGAGAACTGATTGGCTGAGTGAGGGTGGTCCTCTCTTTTTCACTTTTCTGTCTAAAAAAGCTGATGTAAAGATGTGACAGAGGCCAATAATACATGCACGGGAAAACTAGTGAGAGAAGCAAACTGTTTTGAGAGCAAGCAACTAGTTTGATGGATTTTATTTGTGTTGTTCGGAAGTTAGGTGCCCCAGCTTAAAGATCTGATTTAATGTTAGACTTAGTACTGAGTGGATTTTCAGAGTGGATGTTCAATGTTTACTAAAATAACTTTTTTGATAAGCACTCTGCCATTGTGCCGCTGAGTGGAATCCAGAATGTTTGTACTTGTTCTTAGACAGGGCAAAATCTTACACATTATTCTGAAAATCATATTCTCAGAATAATGTGTAAATGACTGCAAAGAAAAAGGGCAGGGACAGGGATAGGTGAAGCAGGTAAATACAGGATGGAAATCATAATGACAAAGACACATTCTTATAACTGGCTGTAAGGTCAGAAAAGTCTATTCAGAATAGCAAAGTATGTCCCCTTTAATATTTACATCCATCCATTTTCTTCTGCTTGATCTGTTGAAAGGGTCGCGGGGGCAGCAGCCTGAACAGAGACGCCCAGACTTCCCTCTCCTCACACACTTCTTCCAGCTAATACAGTTATGTAAAAATATTATGTTTAAAACTTACTAATTTACTAAAGAAAGGCGGAGCGCGGATGTACGTGGACTTGTGATCCCAGGGGAACAGCATCGAGTCCGAGCAGTCAATCTGGTTCCAAAAAGCATTCCCTTTCTGTGGATAAAAAGCAGCGTTTGTAATCAGTTATTTAAAAATATCTACCTATAATGGATGGAGCCTCTGCATGTCTCTTTTGTCTAGCTCTCATATCTAACAAACTGTCAAATCGACCTCCACTTTCAATAGGACTGCTTCCAAAATGAAAAGATCCCAATCTCCATTTTAATTTCCACCTTTACACAAGTATATATTTATGGGTTTTATTTTTTTGATATTTCAGAAATTATAAATGATTACCAGTACTCAAAAACCTTTTTTTCACACATTGGACCTCATGTATGAAACTTGCGTACGGCCAAATCAGGGTGTAAATGAGGCGTACGCAAAATATTTACACTTTTCCGCATTTATCAATCTGGACATGAGCGTACAGTACGCACAGAATTTACACCAAGTAAGGAGGTGTAAATGTGTACGCTCATTTCACCCTTCGTCACAACAAGCCAAAACATACATGAAATTCAAGATTTGGACAACAATAAACATATTCCCACTCTGGCAAAATCATAAGCTGCGTTTTCATTGAGCATCATGTTTCGGAATTTGAATTTGCGCATCAGAAAAATTCTAACATTCTGGAAACACGCAAACTTTGAATAAATCACAGATCATGATGGGAAGCCTCTTCTGTTTCTATGATTTTAAATCTGACTTCTGTGTGTATTATTTTGATCTGTATGTTTTTAAAATGTGGAGCGCTTTGTGATCCTGGACTGTGGCTCTATACAAATACACTTTATGTGACAGGGATGTGTGACCCATCTACTGCTGTGGCAGGCTCTGCGCTGCGTAATTACGTACAGCTATTTGTATTCCTCATTCACATCTGGTAAAGCAATGTATGTTTTCATTAGATTAGCTCACTGCCCTGTCCACCCGCTGCGCACTCTTGGGAATGCATGCAGAGCAGGTTCCGTGAGAGGTCGCGCCACATAACTCCTCAAATGCTGTCATTCAGAAGTTTTGGCTCCAGAGTTTCTCTGGAAAATCTGGACCGCAAACGCTGTCTCTATACAGCGCTTCATTGCATTCCCACGACGCTGCAGACACTTCATTGATGAGAGCCACCGCAGCATAATATATATGAATTAATCAATTAATTCATTCATTCTTTCATTCTTTATTAATTCACTTCTACAAATCAAGAGAGATTTTTCTAATTTATCTACACTTTTTTGCAAATTTGTTCAAAACGCAGCTGAATATATAGCGTATATCTATTTTTACATAACCATGAACGAACAAACGTTTGACGCTTCCAAACAGTCTTTTTGGCCGGCTTCCTGCTGACCTGTCGCAAAAACAGGGCGTGAAACAGGCGATTGTTGCATAATTCTAGGCGTGACTTTCATAAATACGTTCGTTTTCAGTCGCGGGATTTATGAACACCTGGGCGCATCTCACACGTTCATAAATCCAACGTTGGATCTTGCGTAAATGGAATATACACCCAAAACATACACCCTTTTCTGCGCAACTTTCAGACATGAGGGCCATTGTCAGTAGTTGTGTGAAGCCATTTACTCTCAAATTAACATATTTTCTATTTTCAAATTCTGACAACAGAAACACATCATGATAATTTGTTGCCCTTTAACACCTACGATGGTTTGGAATCTTTGGTGGTCGTTGTGGCTGAGGTTCTGTATTTTTTCCGGTCTCTCTCTGCTGCTCATTTTTCTAGGCAAAAAGCCTTCATATCCTGTAAATTCTTATAGCAGCCTTACATGAACTGCACGTTTGAGATCTCCACGGAATAGTTCAAAGATGTATGAACTTTTATTTGACATTTTTCACAATAGTTGACATCAGCGTTTTAAATAGCGTGTATAACTGACCTGCATTCTTCCTTGGAGCTCTGTGAAAATGGAGGAAATGACCGTATCCTCTTCAGTCTGCTGCACCTCCTCTCTCGTCGGCCAAATGTCCCGGAGATAAACCTCAGTTCCTCCAGACGTCACACCTGAGAAAGAGCACAAGATAAAGTTAAACACAACACTAAAATAAACATGATTAACCAAATAAAAGTATAAAAAATATTTTGAATTTTGGACAACTGAGATGTTCAAAATGATATAATACAATAATTATTGTTGCCCTTATTAGAAGTCTGAGTGAGTGTTTAATCAGATCATGATTTTTTTTATGAAAGCATAAGAATACAAAAGTACGCTTAAAAAATCCAAAATAAATACAATTTGGTGTATCTCCTATACCGGTCTAACCACCTTGGGCCCACTCTACATAGGGCTGTCAAAATTGAAAAAGATAACATTATTATAATACATTTGAATAGCTGTTTTACATTACGCAGTGCCACAATATCATCTTCTACAGACCAAATTCTAAGTACATCCAAACATCTATATATATATTTTTCAAAGGCGTCTACTTTTGAATGCCGTGGTGGCTGTAATACACAACACGGACGGTTGTGTGCTCTTAGTTCTATGACGACTCTGCCATCATCCGAGGCCGATGACGCAGAGTACAGAGGACTAATACAGGACTTTGTGGACTGGTGTTAGCAGAACCACCTCCTCATCAACACGGGGAAGACTAAGGAGAATAATGTTACAGCCATTAAAAGTGACAGAAGTCACAAACTAGAAATATGCCTTTGCTCAAGGTGCAACCAAGCTTTAAATTAGAAATGGAGAAAAATAGAATTAGATAAATGCATCAACCATAAAATAGAGAATATTTCTAGCCATTGCTGATATCAAACGGTAAAAGGAGCATTGCCTTCAAAATATGTTCACAAACCTTTACTTCAAAAGAAAATAAAATTAAAGCCGCAAGCGGCGTCAAACGGCCCTCGCCGCACCGCGCAACTCCCTGTGCCAAGCCGCCCCGCACCAAGCCGCAACGCGCCTCTCCACAACGCCCCGCACTACGCCGCACCACACCGTACCACGCAGCACCGCTCAAAGGAGGTGGCGTCGCCTTGTGATGATTTGTTCCCGTAGCCATAGAAGATTGTTAGTCAAATTGTAATGAATATGATAAGTAGAGCTGGTTTGGCTCCCCATGTAAACTTTGACTCAGTCTGTAGGGGGCGCTAATGGGCCAATTTCAAATATTTCACTTTCACCTGACCTAAACCCTTGAGTTGAACAATGGATTCAAGTTTAATGCAAATCAGACTTTGTTTGTGCAAACGGGAAAAAAATTAATGTTGTCAAAAACAGCCAAAAAAAACCCTCACATTTTGCCGCTCCGCTGCTTAAACAACGTTTCACTGATCAAAATTCCCTGAAGTCATTTGGAAGGTAAATGTGTTGAGATGATTTGGAACAATTTTGAGGCAATCGGTGAAACGGCCGAGGAGGTGTATGAAAATGATTGGTTTTCATTTTTCCATTTTGCAATGAAATTTATGGGCTTCCTGTTTGTTAGAGGGCTTAGCCATAATAAAAAATGTTCCATGTCTTGACTTGAGGAACATGTGTTCCAAATTACATGGTTCTACGACAATTTTGACCTTAAACCCCTCCCATAGGCGTTTTTAAATTGGCTGTTGTAGGTGGCGCTATAGAGCCAATTTCAAAATTTTAACTTTCAAATGACCTAGACCCAAGAGTTGAACCATGGATTCAAGTTTTGTGAAAATCAGACTTTGTTTGTGCAAACGGAAGCAATTTTTCTATATTCAAAAAGTGAAAAAAATACGCCGCTTTTTGGCGCTCCGCTGCTCAAACAATGTTTCACTGATCAAAATTCCCTGAAGTCGTTTTGATGGTACATGTGTTGAGATGATGTGGAGCGATTTTGAGGCAAATCGGTGAAACGGCCGAGGAGGAGTTGCTTTCCAACCGACATGTGTGAAAAGGATCATGTTTAATTTTTCCATTTTGAAGTGAAATTTATGGGCTTCCTGTTTGTCAGGGGGCGGGGCCATAATAACTTTTATTTCATGTCTTGAGATGAGGAACATGTGTACCAAATTTCATTCCTATATAGCAAACTTGACCTCGAAACGCTCCCATACTAAAAACTTTGACCCCATCTGTAGGGGGCGATAATGAGCCAAGTTAATTTATTTCACTTTCAAATGACCTAAACCCTAGAGTTGAACAATTTATTAAAGTTTTGTGCAAATCAGACTTTGTTTGTGCAAACGGGAGCAAATTTAATGTTGTAAAAAACTGCCAAAAAAAGGTCAAATTATGCCGCTCCGCTGCTCAACAATGTTTCACTGATCAAAAATCCCTGAGGTCATTTTGATGGTACATGTGTTTAGACAATGTGGAGCGATTTTGAGGCGAATCGGTGAAACGACCGAGGAGGAGTCGCTTTCCAACCGACATGTATGAAAATGATTGCGGATCATTTTTCCATTTTGCAGTGAAATTTATGGGCCTCCTGTTTGTCAGAGGGCGGAGCCATGATAACATTTCGGTCGTATCTTGACTTGAGGAACATGTGTACCGAATTTCATGGCTCTACGACAAACTTGACCTCTGAAACTCCCATTGGCTGTTGTAGGTGGCGCTGTTCTGGCATTTTTTTAGTCCCATAAAAATAAACACCAAAATATCAAATTTTTCACCAGGTCTGATGTTTGGGCAAAATAGTACAACTTTTCATGCATGTTCAGGGGGTCAAATTAAGGCTCAAAGTGTAGAATTTGACATCTCTCGAGCAAAAACAATAGGCCCTTTCCCCGTTCGGGGCTCGGGCCTAATAAATAAAAAAGGATTTTTTTTGACGTGTCTCGAGCAAAAACAATATAGGTTTCAATGGCACGTGATTCATCATTTAAAGCGTTTGAGTTTACGCACGCAACCGTCACGTCGGGGGGAGTCCGTCACGCACCGCCAACACTTGCAGCCAAAGCCACCTCCATCATGAACAACACCTCCCACCCACTGCAAAGGACTATAGAGGAGCTGAGGAGTTCCTTCAGTGGAAGACTGAGACACCCTCAGTGTAAGAAAGAGCGCTACCACATGGCCTTTATCCCCACTGCTGTCAGACTGTACAACAAGTCACTTTAACCCATTAAGGCCTGCATCGCCTGGTAAAACAGACCTGCAAAACCTGAGGCCGACTTCAGAACCACCCTCCAAAACCTGAAGTTTTCCTGAAATTCAACGTCTACTAAATGATTGGTATCTCAGGCTCTGTAGCAGATAGAAACATAATTTCAAAAGAATTTTAGAGCTGACACTTGTGGCTTTCAATAAGAATGCAGTGTATTATTATAAAACTTCAGTAGAAGAATATAAAACTTCCACACAGGAAAGGTAATAAAACAACCAAAAATAATGTGAGACTAACACATCTTTATCAATGCAACAAGTCAAAAAGAGTTGAGGCAATAAAGTGGCACTATGTGGAAAAATATACAAAAAATCCACTCTCAGCCCAAAAAGTCAAATAATGACTCACAAGGCTCTTTCTAGGTCTTGCCCGTCTCTACCCGTCTCTCCCTCGGTCCTGATCGCGCGTCTATGGTCCGCGCTCGGTACATGACCTCTGTGGCTGCGCGTTTGCTGAGCTGTCCAAGCAGCCACTGTTTCTCCCGGGGACAGAGCGGTGGATGTTAATCCTGTTCAAGTACGTAACGCAAACAACTGCCCGCGGTCACTTTCATTTCACCGAAATAAAATTTTCTGAATTTGCAGATCCGCAGATAATTCTCGTCACAGGTATATCTTGATACATTTAATTGGTTCAGAGAATTGATCAATGAAGAGAATAGGTCAAAAAAGAAAAAAAAGACGTGTCCGCTTTCCCGGTCTTAAAGGTAGAAGTGCGTAACAGCGCTCCCAGCTTGAAAGGGAGAAACGCGGGAGAAACGCAGGAATGCGAAAGCTGAGCACCAAATGAGGCCCGAGCCCGGCCCGAACTCAGGTCGGGCTCGGGCCTCATTTGGCGCTCAGCTGTCGGGTTCGTGCCGGGCTCGGGCTTCTTTTTTTAAATATATGTTTCTTTTTTATTATTATTATAATTATTTCTAAATGATTTTGATACATAATGATATGCATATATATATATATATATATATATATATATTAATAACAATGTCCGTTGATTGACAAGAAGTTATTTAAAAAAGTTAATATATTAATGACACTGTAACCAGCGTGTCCTACAGCAGCAGCGAGCCGTGAACGCATCATCCCCGTGTCTCCTGCTGCATGCTGTGGTCAACAGCGAACAGGAACAATAGTAGAAATGGATCAAGTGGAGACAAAATAAATTCAAAAGTGGAGACTAAACTTGCAATTGGAAGGTGAGTGCGTACAACGGGAAATCAGATGTGTCGGGTTCTGTCGGGCTCGGGCCTGTTATACAGCGTTCATTGGTCGGGCTTATACGGGCTCGGGCTTAACATTAGCGGGCTCGGGCCGGGTCGGGCTTCATTTTTCAGGCCCGAACAAAACTCGCAAAAAATAAAGTTGCTACTTTTTACGATTCGCGAGTAAATTGATCACTTGTAAAACATGTGTGCAACCATCGTCGGCGATGGCATCGTCTTTTAAGGGTTAATGAAGTGTTTCCATGTTTCCTGAAAGGCTGATAAATTATTCTGTTTTATAGCAGTTTGTTGTTCGTGTTGCATGTGACATGTACAAGTCTCTCCATGGCCTCGCACCAAAATATATTAGTGACATTTTAGTCCCATATGAACCAGCCCGGACTCTAAGGAGCACAGGGACTGGACTCCTGTTAGTGCCCAGAGTCAGAACTAAACATGGGGTGGCTGCTTTTCAGATTCATGCTGATAAAATCTGGAACAATCTTCCTGAAGATGTGAGACAGGCCTCCTCTCTGACAATGTTTAAAACCAGGTTAAAGACAGTTCTGTTTGTGCATACAACTGAGGGATTTTATATTTTTATCTTTCTTTTTAATGTTCTGTGATTATTTATGATTTTAATACTTTCTTGTTTTGTTCAGCACTTTGAGTTGCCTTGTGTATGAATTGTGCTATACAAATAAACTTGCCTTGCCTTGACATTCATCTCATTATCTGTATTCTCATTTCCCCTTCTGCGTTCCTCATTCAGTGTTCTCCGGGGTCTAAGCACCAAATCATAACCACATTTAATGTCCAGCAAGTAAAAAATATAATTCTTGCATAAAATGTCTGCAGATTCATATGTGCTTATTTAAGATAAGATAAGATGTGCTTTATTTATCTCACAGAGGAGAAATTTACATGTCACATTTGGCATGGATAGAACACTGATTGTGCAAAAGGAGGAAATGTAGTGATAGATAGTGATAGATTACTGTGGCATCAAATATATAAGATAGACCTTTATGACATTTAATGTCATATTTGCACATATTAAAGCAGAATAGAAATACAATGCTAATAGCTCCCTTTTTTCTGTTTGAGTTTCTCTAGATGGCAATCTTTCTGTCTAAAAGCAGGGCTTCATGTTGAAAAGTGTAAATATTTGTGTTTTTAGACCCAAGGATAACAAACTGTATAAAAAACTCTGTATCCTTTGTAGGTAGTGCCAATACATTAGTATTACTCCTGAAATCCCCCAAACTCATGAAATCTTGTAATTGGTGCAGGACTGAAACCTGTTATTACCGTTCTTACCCAGAGGTTCCTTCTCAAAGTCGATTCCCACCGTGCCGGCAATGGCGTAGGCCACAACAAGCGGCGGCGAGGCCAGGTAGTTTGCCCGCACGCAGTCACAGAGACGTCCTTCAAAGTGTCTGTTTCCTGACAACACTCCACAGGCCACCAGCTCACCCTGAACACAAAATAACCATTATGAGCAATCCCACAAAAAATGCTGTTGAGGTGCATTTACATAAAGCTGGGGCACCTAAGTTTCAAACCACAAAAAAATAACCTGCTCACAAAACAGTTTGGTTCTCTCACTATTATTTGGATTCTGTCAGATCTTTTGATCAGCATATACAAACACAATAATAAAAAAGAGAGGGCCACCTGATAGGTTGAGTAACCTATCAGCTCTCAGCCTAAAAAATCAAATTGTGATTCACAGGGTTGTGAAAGATGACGTGTTTTCTAATAAGAAGTGTACAGATGTATGCAGGCCAGGTCAATAAGACATTAGGCAGTCCAAAAATGAACAGAAGAATTTAGATAATGAGTGTTTTAACCTGTTTGATGGCGTCTACCACAGCTTCTGGTAAAGGAGCCGTGTTTCCGACGCACGTGGCACAACCGTAACCAATGACATCAAATCTGCAAATGCAACAATAATTCAGACAGTTAAACAGGCTGGAAAAGTTGCTCTGATTTTACTAAATTGAAAATGAATGCTCCATGTTTTTGTCATGTGCAAAGTTTTGGCTCCAGTGCTCATATCTCATTTTTTGTTTGGTACACCTGGTTCGACCTTTTTGACCGCTTCTCTCTTGTTTAGGCGTTCAGGAACTTGGTGTGGTTCTTGATGTGGTTGTTGATAAAGGAGTAGATTATGTAATAGCAGACTATTTATAAAGACATTAAATAAAAAGTTAACTATCATGTTATGCTAGCGGTTATATGATGTTGCAAATGATGCTGTTGGAATTTTCAGCATGTAAAGAATAAAAGAAAAAGAAACAAACAAAAATGCAAAACAGCAAGGTGATCGTGAGAGACCACTGTCTATATAAAATAAAATAATATTCTCATCTGTAGATATTTATGAGCAACAAGAGTGTTAAAAACAATGGCTCTATGCAGTGGATAGAGATGTTAGTGTCAAGCATTTAGCGACACCAGCTTAAAGCTGCACTAACGACTTAGGGATTTTGAAGCCGTGGACTCGCTGGCCTCGCTCTTTCTGCTCCCCTCCCGGCACCCGCGAAGCCCCCCAAACACACCCACTGTTGGGACGGAGCTAGCGTTTTCAATATGGATAAATCCATAGATATGGATTTGCACGTGAATGGCGTGACCATAGAACGATAGAACCGGGAAGCACGGAGGAACGAGACTTTCTTTTGGATGGCTGTTTTGCTGTGTAAGCAGTAACCGGTGACGAAGACGAGGAAGCTTCAGGTTAGCTCCTCCGCTTGTTGTGCTAACTCAGCCGTCTATGCTAACGGACCTGTAGATTTCTCACAAAAGTGGGAGCTAGTGGTCCGCTGTGATTGGTCACAATCTTCGACCCGAAACACATCTCTTCCTTGTTTCATCAAAACTCGATCTAAAATATAATGTCAAGCCAGCACAAATCTGCGTTACTTTTTCTTCAAAAGGACGTACAGTATATACCAATGCACTACATGGACATGGATAGCACTTTCGTAATGAATACAAAAATAAAGTCAGTTAGTGCAGCTTTAATCAGGCGTGTTTTCTGTACAATCAGTTGGAAAGATGGAAAGACTTTAATCTAAATCCCTGCTGCTTGAAGTGTTCAAAGCTTCAGTAATGTGATTGAAGAAATTTTATAGCAAGAATGAATCTTTGAGAGGATTATTCCAGGTTGATGCCCCTGAGAACTGGAACACCGCTGATTCACACATATTAAATCTTCAAGGTAAAGTAATCGCCAGGGTTTGTCCGTCTGTCTCTCTGTCAGTGGCATCACTCAAAAGTTAAGGCTGGGATTTCCACAAAATGTAAAGGAAACCTCGGAAATGGGACATGGAACAAACACTAACATTTTGACGATGATACAGGACTTTTACATTGTAAATGAATCACTTCTAACACAATGGCACAAAACACAATGTAACTATTGTGTATTTTGATCCCCAATCTGGGAGAAACTTTTTCACTACAAAATACATTCGTGTAGCAATCCAGTAACCTTGCTTTTTTAATTTATGAATTACTGAGGGATTTGTGGGATATCCCTATACTGGATTGATCACTGCCCTTCGCTTTGTATCCAGTAATGGCAGTTTCTCTTCCAGACCATTCTTGTACTCCCTCCTTGCATGTCTCAATGTTCTCTTCAGGTCGTGTTGGACAGTTCTCACCTGGTTTCTGTCACCTGCCTTAAAAGCCTGTTTCTTTAGGTTCAAAGTGTGTTTGTTGTCACTTGTAACAACAAACACAAAACCATTGTCATCTTTGGAAATGTTCATGTCAAGAAAATGTATTTATGTTGAGAAAATTCTAAGTCTAAAAAGTCTAATATTGCTGTTGGTTATATTTAAATAACGATGACATTCTTTTAGCTCAGCATCAGAGCCAGACCAGATTAGGAAAATATCGTCTATATCTGCCCCCCCATTTGATCTTATCTCGAAAGACATTTATATTTGAATAGATGAAGGTTTAGCCACTTTAATCACCAAGACAACAAAAAAGGTTTGTGCCGCCACGAAGACGTCGTTCAAAGTGGCACACTTAGTAGCGAAACACAAAAAGCCCTTTACCGATGGAGCCATTGTGAAGGAGGCTATGACCGCGGTGGCTGAAACTTTATTTGATGATCACAAAAGTAAGACTGAGATTCTTTACGCTATTTCTGATGTGCAACTTGGGGCAAATACAGTGGCCCAGAGAGTTACTGCGCTGTCACAGGATCCCACACAACAGCTGAATATGGACATTCAGAGAGGTCAATGGTTATCCCTTCAATTTGACAAGTCGGTGGACGCAAGATGGCTCTTTTCCTACGTATGGTGTTTGAGAACTTCTCCACAAAAGAGGAGTTTTTGACCTTGCTTCCACTAAAAACCTCCACCAGGGGAATAGAAATCTACAACATCGTAAAAGGATATGTGGTGGATAAAAAGTTCCCTATTAAAAAGCTGTGTCCATAACGAGTGATGGAGCCCCTGCTATGACTGGCCACCACAACAGATTTATTGCTCATTGCAAAGCGGACCCGGACTTTCCCAAGTTTATGAACTACCATTGTATTATACATCAGCCAGCCAAATGTGCAAAGGTCCTGATTTTGACCATATTATGGGACCTGTTGTCAAGATGAACAACTCCATTCAAGCAAAGGTAAAGCAACATTGGAGCTTCAAATTGTTCCTGGAGGAATGCGCCGCGGATCACGGCAATCTTCTCCTTCATACGGATATCAGATGGTTAAGTCGAGGTAAGATATTGCAACGCTTTATTTCTTTGCTGGATGAAATCAAGACTTTTGTGGCGGAGAGAGGGGAAGATATTATGTTGTTAAGTGATACGGAGTGGCTTCTTGATCTTGCGTTTCTGACTGATGTAACAGATCAAATTAACCAACTGAACACACAGTTACAAGGCAAAGATAGACATGTGTCAGGCATTATCAGTGCTGTGAGCATTCAGCGCTTGTTGTACATCCAGCAAGTGAAAAACAAAACATTGTAGCACTTTTCCTCCCTCTCAAAGATGTGTGATAATAATCCAGGGGCAGCCAGTGCTTTGAATGTGGACAAATATTGTGAGCTTTTGGCAAAACTTGGACAGAAGTTTGTTGACAGATTTGTTGACTTTGACAAACTTCATTTAAGGAAAAATTTAAGGAAAACCCCTTCATGGATGTGGACATAAGTGACATTTCTGATCAGATGGCAGTACTTTTTGGAATTGATCCTGTAGAAATGGATATGGAGGTGATAAACCTACAAAACAACGTGCAGATCAAGTCTCAGCAGAGTTCTGGACATTTCTGGAGCCTTGTGGATCCAAAGGACTTTAAGAACCTTAATGAGGTGGCTTTGAATGTGTCTGCTTTGTTTGGGTCTGTATATCTTTGTGGGCGACAGTAGCTCAGTTGGTAGAGCATTGGCCTTCAGGCCTGAAGGTCGAGGGTTCAATTCCCACCTCGACACCTTCTCCACCGACTCCCACTGATGACTGCTGTCGTTGTGTCCTTGGGCAAGACACTTAACCCCACTTTGCCCAAAAGCCCCCACTGAAAGATCAAGGCTATGCTCACACTCAGAGAGCAGCCGTCCTCCTGTGGACTCACCACCTGCAGAGGATCAGTGAGGGGCTGGTGCTATGAGACTTGGGTGGCATCTCTGATTGCCACCCCCCTGACCCAGACATGGATTAAAGGGTAGAAAATGGATGGATGGATGGATGTATATCTTTGTGAGTCAGAATTGATTGCATTCATGTCAGAAAAAGCTAAATTGACTGATCAACACCTGAAAGATTTCATCAGGGTGAATTTGAGTGGCCGTCCGGTCCCTGTATGACCGGAGCCAGAGCTGTGTTCGCATTGCTGGCAGTAAGTCAGTCTTGTTCCCGGTGAATGTTGGCCTCCGCCAGGGCTGCCCTTTGTCACCGGTTCTGTTCACTGTGTTCATGGACAGAATTTCTAGGCGCAGCCAGGGGTCGGAGGGGGTCCGGTTCGGGGACCACAGGATTTCATCTCTGCTGTTAGCGGATGATGTTGTCCTGTTGGCTCCAACGAACCAGGACCTGCAGCATGCACTGGGGCGGTTTGCAGCCGAGTGCGAAGCGGCTGGGATGAGAATCAGCACCTCCAAATCTGAGGCCATGGTCCTCGACCAGAAAAAGGTGCCTTGCCCTCTTCAGGTGGGTGGAGAGGTCCTTCCTCAAGTGGAGGAGTTAAAGTATCTCGGGGTCTTGTTCACGAGTGAGGGAAGGATGGAGCGTGAGATTGACAGGCGGATCGGTGCAGCGTGCGCAGTGATGCGGTCGCTGTATCGGACCGTTGTGGTAAAGAGGGAGCTGAGCCGAAAGGCAAAGCTCTCGATTTACCGGTCAATCTTCGTTCCCTCCCTCACCTATGGTCACGAGCTTTGGGTAATGACCGAAAGAACGAGATCGCGGATACAAGCGGTCGTAATGAGTTTCCTCCGCAGAGTGGCTGGGCGCTCCCTTAGAGATAGGGTGAGGAGCTCGGTCACATGGGAGGAGCTCGGAGTAGAGCCGCTGCTTCTTCACGTCGAGAGGAACCAGTTGAGGTGGCTCGGGCATCTGTTCCGGATGCCTCCTAGACGCCTCCCTGGGGAGGTGTTCCGGGCACGTCCCACCGGGAGGAGGCCCCGGGGAAGACCCAGGACACGCTGGAGGAACTATGTCTCTCAACTGGCCTGGGAACGCCTTTGGGTCCCCCCAGACGAGCTGGAGGAAGTGTGTGTGGATAGGGAAGTCTGGGCGTCTCTGCTTAGACTGCTGCCCTGCGACCCGGCAACGGATGAAGCGGAAGATGATGGAATGGAATTTGAGTGGCTATACTCCACAATACTCCACTCTTGTTGATGCCATGCAGTGTCAGCCATCCCACTGAGCATGTTTCAGCTTGTGCTTTTTGAAGTTAAGTTTATATACACACTTTGTTTTAATAGTGGCAATATTGAATGTTCTTTGTTGTTTGGATAATAATATTGCATGTTTCCCACTGTGACGTGTGCATCTTTTCTAAACCATAACTTAAAAATAAATATTTACGAGCAAAAGTAGCTCACGCCTGATTTTTTCAATTTAAGTAGCTCACAGAGCCAAAAAGGTTGGAGACCCCTGCTTTGACCCACTCAAGCCAGGAACGCATTTCTTCCTCTAGAGCCGGGAACGGACACGTCTGTTTATCTTATTTGAGGATTCTCTTCATTGGTAAATTATCTGGACCAATGAAATGCATCAGGATAAACCAGGGATGAAATTTTTTTCTGCGTGTCCGTGATTTCCGACTTTTTTCTGTTGTGTGTCTGCGTGTACTTGTTGTTGTTTGCATTACGGAATTCACATCCTCCGCTCTGACCCCGGCGCTTTGTAATGACAGTCGCTTTGACAACAACTCAGTGAACGCACATCCGTAGCGTGATACCTAGCGCAGACCATAGACACGCGGACAGAACCATAGACTCGCTGACAAAACCATAGACGCGTGTTTAGGACCATCCCCAGTTTGTTGCAAGTGCGGGTCTACCCCGTGTCTCTTACCAACGCGCAAGGAAAACTCACAAAATGAAAAAAGTAAAATGTTGAGAACAAATCAAACAGAACACACCACAACAGTCGTCTTGTATTTTATTTTGCAAACTTAAGACCCTGTGAGTCACTATTTGGGTATTTACCCTCATATATTAAACCACCTTCCTGATTCTCCCAAGGAGGCGGTCCATTCTGGGCCCAATCCAGGCTCATTCACTGCATTTATTTAATTTTTGGCATTATCAGTTGTGACTGGAATATTAGTACTGGGCCTTTGTCTTCGGGAGAGTTGACTTTAGCCCGGTCTGACTGTGCGTAAAGGAGCTGCTTAAATGCCGCGGCAATAAGCGGTCGTTGAGACGCTTTTTTTCACTCATGTCTTTCTTTTGCCACAGTATTTACACACTGTGACAGTTTTGTCGAATATTAATTATCAGTATAGTTACAGTGAAGCCAAAATGCTCTCATACCAGGGATTTAAATGACGTGGGGCTTTCAAGCTCTTCCGTTCCTCTGCTTGCCGTGACCATGCTGTGTGTGGACTTAACAATGTGCGCACAACTTTTTTTTCATAAATCAAACCGCGGATCACATCTGTACCGAACCGAAGACGTTGAACCGAACGGATCACGGATCATTGATGATCCGTTGCACCTCTACTGACAATGCTTAATGTCAAGGCCTGGTTGAAGACAACATATTGTGGTCCGACTGGCCGACAGAGCAGCCACCCTCCTGCGGACTCACCACTTGCAGGGGGATCATTGAGGGGCTGTTTCTCTATTAATTGGGTGGCAGCCACCCTCCCAACTCAGAGATGGACAAAAGTGAGGAAAATTGATGGATGGATGTTTAAAGAAGATCCATTTATATACCACTTTAAAAACTCAGTTATGACATGAACATAACATCTATATATATTAAGACTTTAAAGCTGTTGCTTTTTTAGTCTTTTCTGTGTTTTACTGTCTTTAAACCATCGAGGCCGGGAACGCATTCCTGCATTTCTACCTCTCGGGAGCACTGTTGCGCATTTCTACCATTAAAGGAGCTATACCCAGTTCTGCAAGGTTTGAATGTTTAGCACCACCCCTCAACTCGCTCACAGGCTTCTCATTTCCCCTACGCTCTCATACGGAGCCATATTGTTTTATTTGCGATCTGATACATATGAAAACATTAGGGGAACTTCTTGTAAGCTGTACAACACTCACTGATGAAATTATACAAAAGCAACGCACAGCTAACAAAATATATAACTGAAAGATTACTGCTAGTTTCGCATCCAAATGTAGTCCGAGCATAGATAGTCCGAGGCAGGGCTGGACTGGCCATCGGGCGTACCGGGCAATGCCCGAAGGGCCGATGCCCATATTTGGGCCGGTCTGTCTGCCTCATACAAAAAAACATGTTTGTGAAAAGTGTAAATCCGTTGAGAAATGTTCGAGGGGGCGCGCGTGTCCGCGGGGCACCTGCTGTATGTACTCGAACGGGATTCCACCACCTCAGCGGCTGCAGTGTTCCCGCATCCAGCGGCTCTGAGCTGGACGCAGGAACCGCTCACCGGGAGCCGCTCACACCACAACACGGCGAGCGCGTAGCCGCAACGTGACCATGTACCCAAGCCCATAAACGCGCACAGGACCATGCATGTCTTTTTGTAATTTGTGCACCCAATAAATACACCGCTGCAGAAAACAGTCCGCGTCTCCCCTCTCCTCTAAATTAAAGCTCGGATACCTAAATTTTCCATTGCATTAAAAGTTCATGTTTGAGCCCAAAAGTAAAATGTTGTGAACAGATTAAACAGATTTAGAGCCAGCTAATGGCTGACAATATGCATTTCAGACATTTTTACCAATTCTCATCCCTGTAACAAACAATAGTGTTGTCTGTGCCACCTCCCTCACTCTGAGACATGTTTATTACTCTGTTTAATGTAGACTATTGCACTTTATTTTATTGTTGAAACTGCAGACATCCTGATCCTCTATAGTATTTGCTTCCACATACTGTATAAACCAGGGGTCGGCAACCTTTAGTGCCCCTAAAGTGGCTCCGAGCCTTTTCAAAAATGTCTGAAAATGGGTTATGAGGGCTATATTTTATTTCTAGTTTCAATGTGGTTTCTGTAGGAGGAAAAACATTCTTAACGTTTTTCAATGCTGCAAAAACTTATATAAGTAATATTCAATTTTAGCATTTCTGTCAACGTAGTGCGTCATATCCTGTGACGCGGCCCGTGCCAGGCGGCCGCTGCTGTAAACAAACCGGCGTGTGCATTATAGACTGTGTGTGCGCATGGATCCCAAAGATAAAGAGAGAGAGCCGATAAGACTGGACTAAGAATGAGAATGAACATTTTCTTTCAGTCAATGAGGAAGGACTGCTTCATGTTTGCGATGTAATGAAAAGTTTTGTTGCAACAGGAGGAACAATGAAGCTTTAAACACTGTTCATTCATCATAAAGTCGGAGCACCTATTTTCAGACTTCAAATACCTTCGCAAAGACTGTGAAAGAAAAGGCCATTAAGGACATTCAGCTCCAGCAAACTTCAGCCTGTGATGTGATCGATATGAACAGACATTGATGCAGGTGAACTCGGAGCCAAAAAGCAGATGTATTTACTGTATTTGTACAATTGCATTAAGGCAAAAAAATGGAAGTTAAACATAAAGCAGAGTTGTCACGTGGTGCGTCATTCTCTCCAGGACACGCTGCAGTGAAAATACACATTTGATAATCATGAATGGTTTTTATGTGTTTAGCCTTTACTTTGTCCTTTAGATATTAGGCTAATGTAGCTAATGTAGCTAATGTAGCTAATACAGCTTCAGCCCCTGTTACTCATAAAACTCATAACTCATGAACTCATAAAAAAACATTGGGTATAGCTTCTTTAAGGCCAAGAAAGCGGGAACTTTGTAATGACTGTGAGCCGCTTTGAAAACACTCAGCGAACGCGCAGTCAGAGCCATAAGCCCGCGGACATGACCATCCCCAGCTTGTTGCAAGTGCTGGTTTCACCAGTGTCTCCTACCGAAGAGCAACCAAAACGCACTAAATTAAAGCTGGCAAAAGTAAAATGTTGTGAACAAATCAAACAGAACACACCTCAACAAGCCATTTTGTTTTTTTATTTTGCACACTTAGCTAGTGTCACTTTATTGCCAAACTCTTGTTAACTTATTGTATTGAGAAATATGTTTTATTCTCACATTATTCTGGTTCTTGCATTATATTTCCTGTGTGGAAGTTGCATATTTTTTTTTATTATTCTACTGCCACAGGTGTCAGCTCTCAAATTCTTTTGGAATTATGTATTTAGTAGATGTTGAATTCCAGGAAAATTTTAGGTTTTAGGGAATGATTCTAAAGTCAGTCATAGGTTTTATCAGGCGTTTCAGTCCAAAATCGGTTAAACGTTGTGTTTCATTGACCTCAACACTGTTCCCGGCGGTACCCACCCGAGCTGGTTGAAGTATGGCAGGACTCCGCTGGTGTTGAGGTAGTGCGTGACCATCCCGCTGCCAGGAGCCAAACTGGTGCGAATGTACGGCTTTACCACAAGCCCCACCTGCACGGCCTTTTTGGCAATTAGACCTGACAAAACAGACACGAGCCGTTCAACAGGGGACACAACATCCACAACTTTTGAAGTGCATTTGTATTTATTCAGTCTCTATCAGGAAAACCAAGTTTAATAGAATAGATAGTTCATACATAAGGCAACTCAAAATCCTACACAAAAAAGAAAAGAAACATTAAACTCAGTGCATTAAAAGGTGTGAGGAGAAAGACAAGCCTCAAACTTGCGAATGTATTGACTTCTTAACCCTATTTTTGATGTATACTTGAGCTCTAACCCCATTTAGAGCCCAGGAGTCAATCAAAGTCTACAAACAACATAACTACTAAAACAAAAAACAAGACGGTATAGATGCACACATTCAGACAAATTGGGGAGTAAGCAATGATGTCACACAGTAACTCTATTGACAGGGGTGCACATAACTTTTTCAGTGAGGTACTCAGATGAGTACCAGGAGATGGTGTTTGGTACTCACTCGATTGTCGCGTGGTTCTTAATCGGGATTTTATACTTGCTTCTTTTTAATGCTAAACAAGGCTCTTTCTTAACCTCTTAACTCCCACCGGCGCGCCGTTTTTATTTTTAAAATGTTCTGCTGGCAATAGCAGATGCATTTTGAACACCAAACCCCAAAAGCTTATTTTCCAATCTACATTTATATCCAAGTGTAAACTACATCAGACTTTGCATTCAAAAGATATAACACATAAAGTGGGCACAAAATAAATCACTTTCCAAAAAGTTTTTTACCTTTGGGCTTGTGCTGCATAAATAAATCAGATCTCCTCCCAGCTTGCAATACATCTTTCTCCCTGGAACAGTCCAAAGGAAAATAATATCCACTTGTATTTCCCAAAGTATAATCCATTCTGCAGAAATAATCCAAAAATGTAAAAAAAAAAAAAAAAAAAAAAAAAAGAGCACAGATGTTGCTCTTTCACTTTTAACAGACTTTTAGCTTTGTTTTTCACCGAGACAACTGGTATCCACGTGTTCCCTAGCTCCTTATCTTTCAAATGAGACTATTCCCGAAGAGCTAGGAGCATTTTTGGGTCCGCAACAGCTCCCGTGAGTACAGCTAGCGCTGCTGTTTGCGCATCGGTCACTGATCTTTGTTGTCTTCCCTACTTCTTTGCATCTATTTCCTGGCCGTTTGATTGACATGTCCGTGTAGCCAATGAGGAAAGCTTTCGAGCTTTCCTCAAGCTTCCCCCCCCCCCCCCCCCCGACCCAGAAATGGATTAAGGGGAAGAAAATGGATGGATGGATAAATGTCAGTAAAGCATTTTGGCACAATTGTGATGAAAAACTATAAAACTTAGAAGTCTGAAACTTTAGACAGTTGTTGTCAACAACACAATGAACACATAGAGTTTGAATATTGTGAACTTACAATGAAGGATGCCTTTTTTAGGGCCTTTAGAAATTAAAAATTTTAGGCGAGGCTAAAAAAATAGGTTTTTTTCCCAAACTTCAAAGAATGCAGAGTGAAATAGGAATGACAAACATTATTTTAGTGTATATTTACATAAACTAGAAGGCTCTAGCTTTAATATGATGCATCACACAAGCATGTGAGATGCAAGATGTGTTTTTAAATAAGCAAAGACATTTGGGTATGCCCAACTTTTGTGCACAAGCCAAAATGAGGCGGGAATGCAAAACAAAACAAAAATAAATAAAATTTTCAGTTTGATTTGTTGACAAAATTTTGGGCACAACCAACATTATTATACATTATTAATGCAAGGGAAAATGTAGGTACCACAGGGAGGACATGGACACTCCTTTAAGGCTCGATAATCCAGCTCTGTTTCTTGCAGTAACGCAATATGTATGTATTTATCTTGTGTTACGCAAAGACACACATTTGCAACAAGCAGAGAATGGTCCGCGCTGGGTACATTATGGCAACGTTTGGCTACGTGCTTGCCGCGTTGTTGTCACAAAGCCGCTGTCATTACAAAGCGGCCGGAGTGGCTCTGGAGTCAGAACGCTGCTGCCACTGAGGATTTGGAATCCCGTTCCGAGTACGTACAGCAAACAGCAGCAAGTGCCCTGCAATCACGCACACCCTCTCTGGCATTGCACCACTAGGGAGGAGCGACCCACTATTTGAGAAGGACTGGTGTATATGAAGTACGCAAAGGCGCTTACTAACTCAAGTGATAGTACGCATTTCTGATATTTGTCGCGCATGCATACCTGCGTACCACTAATGTGCACCCCTGTTGTTACGGCTCCAGGTCTGGGCCGTTTGCGCAAGCATCCCCTCCCTCTCCTGGTGCGGTTCTCCAGTCTGTGTGTGTCGGTCTCATTCCCGCCAGACCGAGGGCCCGCCTCCCAGACACTGCCATTCGCCCGGAACCCTCCTGTATGGCCAATAGGAGCTCCGGCCGAATCAATCTGCGCCACCAACTGACCTGCCCACGGCCAATAAAACAGCGGTGCGACGTCCGGACGGGGCAGCTTGTTTTCAGTACAAGTGCGCCACCCTTGAGAGCGACGTGTTTGGGAGAGCTGACCGTATTGAGACCTTTTGAGAGACCTTATGTGACCTTAAGAGACATTTAGAGAACTTTGATTTAGTGTCTGCAGATAGAAAACTTTTGTTTTCTTTTGACTCTAAGTTTTGTTCAGTACTCTTGTTACCTTTTCTGCCATAAGAAAAAGGGCTTTGTGTAGGAGAAATGAAAATGACCTCTTTCCTTAATCAAAGACATTTTGTTGTATATTGAAACATACTATAACTTCTGTCTCCACTGTGTGTAAATCCTTGTGGTTCAGGTCTTATTGTGGGTAAGAATGCCTTAAGATAAGTGCCATGTCAACACCATTCCCCCAACAACTCTACAAGGTATGAAGATATGCAAGGATCCACAGAGAAGACAAGTCAGTCTACTTTGGAGCCATGGAGTAACAGGACCTCTGGGCTCTGCCCAGGCAACAAAGGGGGTCTTGGCCCTCCAAGATGGGTTCAAACCTCAGCTCCACGTTTGAGAGGACTACCACAACCCTTCAATGGCCTCCAGCTTCAACCTGAAGAAGTTGCTGAACTGTGGCTCCTAGACAGTGGATCGTGGGAGGACTTGGTTCAGCCACATGATACAGCCTCATGGTCCAGGCCCTGTGAACAAGGACTGGCCTTCATCCCTTCTGATTGTATAATCTGCTTACCACTCACAGTTGTTGGCTTAATTAAAATCTACAATTCAAACTAAGAATACTTCTCTTACCAAGGCTGCACACATGCAAGCCCGGGCCTACCAATCCATCTAGAACAGACCTCCTGCGGCCCCTTTGCAGTACCCTCACGGCCCACCAGGGGGCCGCGGACCCCACTTTGGGAGACACTGATCTAGAAGGACAAAGGCCCACACATTAGCCTCATCCCACCTTAGCCTAGCATGTTAACCATGTGTCTTGCAATCAACGTTTCCTTCATGTTATTTTTGACAATCTGCATATTTCATATCTAATCTGTATTGTATATACTTTTTCTGAATGTGACATTTGTACTGATTTAACTCCAGAAATTGGGTCACTGATTTGTAAAAGAATTAATTACCTTCAGATTCTATTGAAGAGAATTGGACTAACTAGCTAATTAAATAATTAAAGGACTCATGAGAATACTGAATCAATAAATGATTGTATTCAGTATGTAAATCATAGTATTCGTTTTGATGTCTCACTATGGGAAACGCCCCCTCGGGTGTTCACAGAAGCCCTATACCATTACGCGAGCCCTGAGTTGCTGGCAGTGATGACGCCCACTATAAATGCCACTCGTACAACGTCACCCGCCATTCAATCACCTCTTCTCGCTTCACAGAGCAAAGTTACCGTAACGGACTCCAGTCATTTAACTGTTCACATGCAAGAGCTAATCCCTCTGCTACCGAACATTAGCTGTCACTACACAGGACAGTTAGTGCGTGACTAGCTTTGGAGTTTTTATTTGTTAGCTACACCAAGCTAACTCTCTGCTTTGCCTGCTACCACACCAGGTATCAGTCATGGCTACAGCTGCAAAGCTGTCTCCTTCCACGGAGTTGGAACGACACACACAAGGTCTGCTCGGCGTGCCTTGGGCTGGAACACGCCCAGGACGCACCTGAGAATCCCGGATTGTGCATGCACTGCTCCCGGTTCATGGCCAAGAGTCTACGTCGCAGGCTAGCACGCCAAGCTAGCCTCTCTGACAAAGACCCGGCCATGACCGAGCCTGAGCCCGCTACCGCAGCACATGAGCTCGGAGGGGGCACCCAGTCTGTAGGTGACACCAGGACTGCCGCGGCCCAGTTAAGCTGGAGCTCTGCACTGGACCTTGAAAACCCTCTCGAAGATGGGCCGCTCCTCTTGGACTATGAGGACGATGGTTCCTTTGATGAGGAGTTTTTGGTTTCTGAAGACGAAGAGGACCCTTCCTTTTTCGTCCCCTCAGGCCAAGCCTCTCCGCTTACGGCTCAGGCTAGGGATGATAGCGGAGCTGCACAGCTATCGCTCAGTGCTAACCTGCATGACATGTGCAAACGCGCTGCGGCAAGGCTGGACATCTCGTGGCCCCCGGTCGCTGCGGAGGCTCCCCGCTCCCGCTACGAGGGGAAGAAATTACCCCAGGCTAAACGGGCAGTGCGGCAGCTTCTCCCAGTGTTTCCAGAGCTTCTCGAGGAAGTGTCAGTGTCCCTGTCAATTTGTCTGACAGGGAGAGGGAAGACATATTGGACATGCCGGTGGTCCGGGAGGGTGTCTTTGGCTCAGCGGTGCGAAGCCAGGAGGCGGGATGAGGAGGCGCGTAAACAGCGTAAACAGCCAGCTGCTGCTCAGGCGCTCCCGAGGTCAAATATGTCTCGTGCGAGCCCCAGACCTGGCTTTAATCCCTCCTTCCGCGTCCCGCAATGACCGAAGCCTCAACCCCCTGCCACGGGATCAGCTGGCCCTCAGGTGGTCAGACCCGTGTGGCCCAAGAGGGCCACGGGCCCTACCGCCCCGCAAGCTGCTGCACTGCCCACGGGTGCGTCTCAGCAGCAGAGGAGGAGGAAGAAGGCGTCATAGCAGTCCACCCCGCTGCTAATCAACAGGGTCGACCCGGTTCCGGTTCTGCTCGACCCTGTGAGTGTGCCACAGGAGGTGGTTCTCCCTGGTGGCGTGATGTGCCCCCCTCCGTATGGTCCGGACCCGGCGAGTCCCCGGAGAGTCCTGACCAAGAGGATGAGAGACGTGGTTCATGTGCTGGAGTGACTCAAAAATGCAAATAAAAAGTTCACTGACACATCCAGGCATAACACTGATTGCGCAGTATTGTACTTTGAAAAAATTAAAAAAGAAGGACAAAATGTTGAAAAATACATTGAGCGCTCGTCTCGGGCCAACAGAGGGCGCTACCACCCCCTTGGTCCTCAGTCAGCTTATACCCATGGTTACGTCTCAGTTCCACCACCAGCCCTCTGTAAGCAGAGGGCGACAAAGGTCCACACATAAGTCTAGTGGCAGGTGCAACGTTGCCCTCCATGTCTCTTAGGCTGCGGTCACATGCGCAGCCTAAAGCCCGGTTAAAGTGTGCCAGGGGGTGTTTTCTTTCAATTGTCCCTTGAATGTCATTCTGTCATTCCTCCAGGACCTTATTGAAAATAAAAAGGCTTTCTCCACTATCAAAGTTTATCTGGCTGCTCTTTCGGCATGTCATGTTGGCTTTGATGGCAAAACTGTGGGCCAGCATCCGCTGATCTGTCGTTTTATGAAGGGAGCTAGGAGATTACTGCCTGTGTCCAGAACCATGTCCCCTTCGTGGGATCTGGCTGTGGTTCTACAGGCTCTTTCTGTCCATCCTTTTGAACCGTTGGAGGACATTGACTTGAAGACGTTATCATTGAAGACTATATTGCTGGTGGCTTTGGCCACAGCAAAACGTATCAGTGATATCCATGCTTTATCTACGCACCCTACATGTATGCGGTTCAGTGCTGATAATCTCAGGGTGACTGTGTCCCAATCCAGCCTTTATCCCAAAGGTGTCAGACTGTTACATCTGGTTGTTTATGTTACATTTCCTTTCCCCTTCTCAGAGCCAAGTTTAGGGTTGTAACACCTGTCTATAGACTTTTCCTTTCACTTAAGTCTGTAATATTTTGAAAATATTGTATTTACCTGCAGTGAGCATGACAGAGGGGTTGCAGTTGTTGGTGCAGCTGATGACGGCGGCGATGACCACGGAGCCGTGACGCAGGCTGTACTCCTGCCCACAGTGAGTGAAGGGGACTGTGGTCTGCTGCTTGTCCTTTGACACATGAAAGCCCTTAAAACCAACCTGAGAAAACCAACACAGACGTCAAGAGTGAGGTTCCCAAGCACAACTGTACAGAGTCAGCTAAAAACATTCAGCATTGCCCCCAACCCGGTTTAAGATCAGATAAACCTTTATTAATCCCTCAGTGAGGAAATTTCTGACCACTGTTGGGTTAGGTAGGTGCACAGTGATGCATAGACTGTATATAGATGGACAAAGACAGCCTGCTAGCTCAATAGAGAAGTGCTCATGCACAAAGTTCCAAAGTTCCAAAGCTCCAACTCCTCTAGCTCAGAAACCGTTTGTGTCCCATCTCAACAGTTTGGGCTTTAAAAATCTGTGTAATAGTGCTCTCTGTGAAACAGATTACAAAGAAGAGTAAAATCCTCACAACCTTTCTGAAAGCGATGGGTTCTCTGTAATGTTAATAAAACGACTGAAAATCTGAGGAAACATTTCTTATGCAAAAAATTAGAATTTAGTCTTCAGTATGCAATCTGTGATTATTTCCAGACGCATTTTTTTAAATATTGTGAGAAAATGTCCCTAAACCCTAAAAGTAGTCAAGTAATCATGTGTTTTCAAATAGTAATAGAATTGACCAGAAGTCTCCAAAAATTTATAAAAAATATTTTGGAGCAGACAGATAAAAATAAACCAATTGGATTTGTTCATCCCCAACGAACCAATGGGATGCATTTACCGCCCTTCACCCTTTTCCTGTTTCTCGTGAGTGTGTGCACCTGAGTAATCGGATTTTCTAAAACCTTTAAGGGCTGAACGTTTGCCACCCACTCTCCCTGTTGTGACAAAGAAAAAAAATGCGGGACGTTTGGTTTGGTGGAGAGACAAGGGGAGTGGTTTTGAGTTAGCTTAGGTACGGCTAAGCTAACAAAATCGCTTACAGCACCTTTAAGTTAGGAACACTGGTAATGTCAATAATTACCATGGATTTATAATAATAACTGGATAGGGTATTACTAGCTTACAGCGGTTCCACCCATGGGCACAGGGGGCGCCCGTGGTACTGCAAACTAAATTCACGTGGGCTACCAAGAAAAAAGTCCCATAGAACTCAATGCAAACTAAACCAGCTTGACCTCAGCTGACAGAGAACCTACAGCTTTCAGAAATATCGGATTTTGTGGGGATTTTTGTGTCCCTTGTCATCCTGAACTTTTTTTCTTCTTTTCTTCTTAAATCCTTCGGTTTTCATTAAATCCACACTTTACTGCCACAAACTCTGCTCCTTTCCTTTCCGCTCTGACTCCGCTCTGCAGCGCTGATTGGTCAAAGCGTAGCCGAGCCCCTCTGTGCACGTGCATGAGAGCCACACACGCGTATTTGGCGCAACACATCATGGGAGCTCGTCTACTGCGCAGAACAAGGAGGACCAGACGATGCCCAAATACAGGCGAGTTCTGCTAATATCCCGGTCTCCGTGAAGTCCCATGAGATACTGAGCACAAGCCATTCATTTGAATAGGGCGCCATCTTGGATCACCGGGGCTTGATAATTACTAAAGCATGGTTTAAGCATAGTGGGTGAATTTAATAGTTAACAAATGGTTTAGAGGGCTCCGTTTTATGGCAAGAAGAAATGTATGTTAGAATGAGGACACGGCTAGGTATATATGGAGACGGAATCTCCTTGAGGTCTCTTGGTTGGTGCATCAACCTTCTCTGGAGAACATCTAGCAGGCAGGGCTTAGGCCAGGACTCCACCGAGCGCGTCTCCGTTTACGCGCATTGGCTGCTCCCCGTCAAGACGTCTGTAAAACGGAATAGTGGCCAAACCGGCTGCAGCAGCGCGCAGCTCTGGCTGTGCGTTTATCAGCACCCCGTGAGGCTTTGTTTTTAAATAGAAGAAGCGGTGTGTGATGTCCATGAGCTGTGGCTATGATCTATGCACGGCATATTGAAGCATCGAGGACATCGCGATGGATGAGGCAAAACTTATTGAAAGCAATTGGACGTCAGACGGACGCATGTTGCAGGCAGTGGAGCCACTTCCATTCACCCTCATGGAGATAACGGAAACTGAGATGAAACAGACACGTTTGGACGGATACGTAGTCCGTTTTACGCAGTCAGTGGAGTCGGGGCCTTATGCTAAGGCCCAGAGCCATCTCTTGATCTGGGTATGCTACCTAGAATTATCATGTAGATAGGAGGCCTCTTGCAGAGGCTTTTCCGGATTCCCTCTCTCTCTACAACATTTCTCATGGGGTATCAGGCCTTGACATTAAGCTTTGTCAGCCACTTGTCCTTCAGGCATGTATTATTTATATTTTACTTGCCCAATGTCAAGAGTTACTTGCCCAAATATTTCTCAATACAATGAGTTAACAAAAGTTTGGCAATAAAGTGGCCCTAACTGTATGGAAAAAATATTAAAAAATCCACTCTCAGCCCAAAAAGTTAAATAATGACTAACAGGGCTCTTAAGTTTGCAAAAATAAAAAAACAAGACTGTTGTGGTGTGTTCTGTTTGATTTGTTCCCAACATCGTGCCCAACCAACATTGTTAATGAAAGCGAAAAGCTAGGTACTCGAGCTTCAATTTTGTGAGTTTTGGTTGTGCTTCGGTAGGAAACACGGCAGGCACACAGAGGGGAAAATGGGGGGACCCGCACTTGCAACAAACTGGGGATGGTTCTGTCCGCATGTCTATGGTTCTGTCCGCGCGTCTGTGGCTCTGTCCGCGCGTCTGTGGCTCTGTCCGCGCGCCTGTGGCTCTGTCCGCGCGCCTGTGGCTCTGTCCGCGCGCCTGTGGCTCTGTCCGCGCGCCTGTGGCTCTGTCCGCGCGCCTGTGGCTCTGTCCGCGCACCTGTGGCTCTGTCCGCGCGTCTATGGTTCTGTCCGCGCGTCTATGGTTCTGTCCGCATGTCTATGGTTCTGTCCACGTGGTTATGGCTCTGTCCGTGCGTCTATGGCTCTGTCCGTGCGTCTGTGGCTCTGTCCACGTGGTTATGGCTCTGTCCGTGCGTCTATGGCTCTGTCCGTGCGTCTGTGGCTCTGTCCGCGCGTCTGTGGCTCTGTCCGCGCGTCTGTGGCTCTGTCCGCGCGTCTGTGGCTCTGTCTGTGGCTCTGTCCGCGCATCTATGGTTCTGTCCGCGTGTCTATGGTCCGTGCTCGGTACCACATTACGGTTGTGCGTTCGCTGAGCTGTTGTCAATTCCGTTTGAGTACATAACGCAAACAGCAGCAAGTGCCCGCGGTCGAACAGTGCAAAAAAGTTGGAAATCGCAGATCCGCCACAAAGTCAAAATATTATAAGATTAATCTTGAAATATTTTGAGATTAATCTTGAAATATTATGAGATATTTTTAGATTAAAGTCAGAACCATTCACAGTCAGTTCGTAATGGATACTTTTAAACATGTGACACACATATGTGTCGACTGGTTGGAATTGATGATATTGATAGATTCATGATCTATATAACGTCAAAACCAACAGTGTCATTTCATATCATTGTTACTTTGGCATTAATGTGAAAAAAATTTGACTTTATTCTCGTAGTATGAAATACGTTATATACGAAAAATGTAATCAATCGTATACCGCACAACCCGTCCGCACATACTGTATGTGCTCTGTCCCAGCCGCAGGTGAAGGAGCTGCTGCTGAGACACAATAGCGCGCATACTATTATTCTTAGTTTCAAATCAGATTATTCTTTGTTTAAAATCAGAATATTTTTACTTTACAGTCGAAAACAACCCAATCAGGCTAGAGTAGATTAAGGCAGAAGTAAATGAGGATATTTGTACCGTAATTTATCTAACTGTGACCATTTTTCTGAATTCTACATTTTACCTTTTCGTTGAGGCAGCTCTGGAAGTCGGCCTTCATGTTACTAACTGTGACGCGGTCCTGCGGTCGCTTTGGTCCGCTCACATACGGGACCATGGAGCTCAGGTTAATCTCAATGACCTGAAGAAGGAACACAAACATAAAAGCAAGAACGTGAGCCGGAAACCTCAAATTAAACACCCCTTTAAGAGTGTAAGGCAGTTTAGGGAACATTTCATGTCACCACTGCAATAATATAACAAATTGTATGTACAGTAGATGGACAATGCTAACCTGCTAGCTCAATGAAGCCCAATAGGGAAGTATTCATGGATGATGTTTTGCTAAAACTCGCTCTCGCTCCCTCTTGACTTACATTGAAAAGTAAACTCCTCTAGCTCACTAACCGTTTGTGTCAAACTCATAATTTTGGAACGTAAAAATCCATGGTTTTGACTAATCGGATGCCATCATTCTCAAGCTTGCTTTTGTAAGAAAATTGGATCCAGCACATTATGTTCAAAACAGATTCTTCTGGATCCAGTACTAATATATGTCTATGAAAAATACATAGTAGCCTTCCTAAAACAGTTTCAGAAAGCCCTCGTGAATGAGGGGATATTGAATAATTTCCAAAGGCACTAGCGTGCCAAAAAAGTGTTGAAAAAACACTGAACAAATTCAATTACAATTTTTTACCCTGTCTAAGGATAAGATAATAATCATTTCCAATTGAGTTATTTGTGACAAAATACTTAGCTACTTAGCTACAATCTGGGGGGGTTACAGCTCCTGCTGTTCATTAATACACATTGCCCCATCCAAATAAACAAATGAATACAAATACAAATACAGCTTAAATCAAGAAGATACCAAAGCCATGTCCTGAGTTCACTTGTCAATTGCATTTTAAAACCTAGAAAACAAGATTACAATATTATATTATGGACAACCCTAACGTACTACTTTCTATAGATGCATTTTCATGAAAACTAGAAAATTAAAAATATTATGATATAATTTCTAATTAAAACTTTTTTTTAAAGTTCCACAAAACAAAATAAAATTAAGAAGTACCTCTGAATACTCCGGGTCTTGTGACGAGTCTTCGTAACTTCTAAAAAGTTTCATTGCGTTCAAGTAAGACTCCAGTAATTCAAGTTTCTCTGGGCTAAAGTCTGAAAATATGAAAAACAAAATAACAGAATTTAGTATACACTCACTGGCCACTTTATTAGGTACACCTTGTTAGTACCGGGTTGGACCCCCTTTTGCCTTCAAAACTGTCTACATCCTTCGTGGCATATATTCAACAAGGTACTGGACACATTCCTCATAGAGTTTGGTCCATATTTGATAGCAACATGCAGTTTCTGCAGATTTGTCGGCTGCACATCCATTATGCGAATCTCCTGTTCCACCACATCCCAAAGTTGCTCTATTGGATTGATATCTGGTGACTATGGAGGTCATTACAGTACAGTGAACTTATTTTCATGTTCAAGAAACCAGTCTCTGATGATTTGAGCTTTATGACAAGGTGTTTTATCCTGCTGGAAATAGCCATTAGAAGATGGGTACACTGTGGTCATAAAGGGATGGATGTGGTCAGCAACTCAGGTGAGCTGTGGCGTGGCCACGATGCTCAATTGGCACTAAGGGACTATCTTTGGAATTCTGGTGGTGGGGATCCTCCTTTTCGAGTTTTGAGCGGTCCTTTTCTACCGCAAATTTGGAGGCATGGCTGCTCATAAGATTCACAACCTGCTGGCCAACAAAATTGATGGGATGTACAAGGAGTTGAGCCGTGCTGTGGTTGAGAGTGCCGTGACCGGACAGAGGAGAGTTGTGCTAATTGAGCAGTTGCTTAAAGACCTCGCAACACGCTCGCTCGAAGGACATAAGACACTTGAAATGAGGCTGAATGACATTGTCTGCCACACGGGAACTCTCTGACCCGGCATGGATAAGCCCCTGTGTACGGAGATTCTGAGGGTGCCGCAATTCGGTTTAATTGGATTTATAGTATATCTGCCTTGCTTTTGACCGCTAGATTGCATATAAATTGTCCCTCTCAAGGCGATGTGTTTTCCCTGTTGTTGTGGCTTGTCTCTACTCTTATCTCACATTCCTTCTGGCCAAGGCCATTGATGGACGGACATTGAGAATTAGCTCTGGCTAAAATGTTGTAGTATGTAACATGAGCTTATGTGACATACTTGTCCCTATTCAAATAAACTTAAATAAATAAAAATAAATGAACTGGTCCATTCTACAACATTTCACTTCACTTGCAGCTCCAGCATGGATCCCCCTCCCCCCGCCTCCCTCTACCTCTCCATCTTCTCCCCCTCCCTCCCTCACTCTCACTCCCTACTGTCCTTCTGGCGTAGCACACTGTGTCTATGCAATTGTCTGTGAAACTGTGTGTTATTGCTCTCTGCTGTTTCTTGCTTGCACACAGCGCCACAAATGGCGAAGTGGCACGCTCTCTGCAAAAACAATTTCCAAGTGGTAACTTGTTTGTTACTTACGTGGCAATAAAAATGATTCTGATTCTGAAGGGACTCAAAGAGTGCAAAGAAAATATCCCCCACATCATTACACCTCCAACACCAGCCTGAACTGTTAATACAAGGCAGGATGGATCCATGCTTTCATGTTGTCGACCCATGTCCTGACCCTACCATCTGATTGTCGCAGCAGAAATTGGGACTCATCAGACCAGTCTTCCAATATTCTATTATCCAATTTCGGTGACCATGTTCAAACTGTAGCCTCAGTTTCCTGTTTTCAGCTGATAGGAGTGGCACCCGGTGTGGTCTTCTGCTGCTGTAGCCAAGCCCCGGCGATCCAAGATGGCGCCATATTCAAATGAATGGTTAGCGGAACTTGTCTGGAACTCACAAAGATCCATGGGAAACTCGCCTGTATTTGGGCATCGTCTGGTCCTACCGGTTCTGCGCAGTGGATGAACTCCCATGGTGCGTGTGGCACAGAGGGGCTCGGTCGCGCTCTGACCAATCAGAACTGCTCATCAGAGCGGGAGTTAGTGCGGGAGTTAGTGCGGGAGCCAGACGGGCAGAGTTTGGGGCACTAAAGTGTAGATTTAAAAAGAAAAAAAGTTCAGGATGACAAGGGACACTAAAATCCCCACAAAATCCGATCTTTATGAAAGCTGTAGGTTCTCTGTCAGCTGTTTTAGTTTACAGTGAGTTCTATGGGGAAAACTTCTGGGTAGCCAACGTGAATTTAGTCTGGTTTAGTCTGCAGTACCGCGAGAATCCCCCGAGCACGTAAGTTCTTCTATCCAGTTAATATAATAGATCCATGGCTGTAGCCCATCTACCTCAAGGTTTGACGTGTTCTGTGTTCAGAGAGGCAAATTCTCTCCAAAGACCAGAGCTGGAAGTGCTCATGACAGTTTTACATACATCAAACCATTCATTCTCAGATATTGTAATATTAGCCTCTTTTTCCCATGCTTCTTTGATGTACATGCTAGAGACGTTCTTAAGTGTCTGCAAACATTTATACACTATTGTTATTGGTTTCTTTGGCGCGTTACCTTTACTAGCATCAAGAAAATATTTCACCAGATCATCTTCCTCTACAGGTTTAATTTCTCTATCAAAATAATGTCTAAGCTGAGTTGTACTTTTCTGAGAGTTCCAGAAAGCTTTTCAGTATACCTCTTGTTGATATAGCCCAATAACCAGTGATACCTTTTTGAGACCATTGTTTAAATCTCTCATCAGTTTTTGCTGGTAAAAAATCAGAGTCATAAGCTGGCCAACGTAATATTTTGGTTTTTTGTTCAACATTCTTGTTTTTAAGTATTTTATTCCACACTATTATTGGTGTTTTTGTCCAAAGGGGCAATAAGTGAGATTTTGTATGTATTTTCAATAGTGGTTTGTCCCCGACCATAGATTGTAAAGGGATATCAAAATAAGACTGGTCTATCTCTTTCCATTTAGCCTCGCAGCTGGGATCACTCCAGTTTAGCAGTACTCTTAACTGAGCTGCTTTGTAATAGCTTTCCAAACCTGGTAGAGCTAATCCACCTTCTTCTTTTTGTAATTGTAAAGTCTGAAATCTAATTCTTGGTTTTTTGTTTCCCCATATAAAATTTGACAACATTCTTTTCCATTCATTAAATTGTGTAGAAGTTATTTCGATCGATAATGCTTGAAATAGGTAAAGAAACCTTGGTAATAGATTAATTTTAACTATCTCAATTCTGTTGTACATGTTCATTGGTATTAGTGCCCATCGTTGTAGATCAGATTTAATATTGGCTGTGAGTTTTCCATAATTTTCATCATAAAGTAACGATATATCCTTTGGTATAATTATTCCTAGATACTTAATGCTATTGCCTTTAAAATTAAAATTTGTCAACTTAGAAATGTCTCTTTTTGGCTGATAATTAAAATAAATAATTTGAGTTTTCTGTAAATTTAGTTTATATCCAGAATATGATCCAAATTCAAGCAAAAGTGTCAGAAGATTGGGTAAACTTTCAGTTGGATTGGTCAATGTCAAGAGGACGTCATCCGCATACAAACAGATCTTGTGTGTGGTTTCTCCTATTGCTATACCTGAAATACCTTTATGTTCTCTAATTGCTTGAGCCAATGGCTCAATAAAAAGTGCAAAAAGGCTAGCGCTGAGCGGGCAACCCTGACGACAACCTCTTTTCAAATATACAGTGTCAGAAAGGTCCCCATTAATCTTGATTCTGGCAGAGGGTGATTCATATAATGATTTTAGACAGTTGATTATGTTTGTGTTGAAACCAAATCTGTTCAGAGTTAAATATAGATATTCCCAACTAACAGAATCAAATGCTTTTTCAGCATCAAGACTGACTGCAACAGATTCAAAATTTTCCATTTTATGAATAAGGTGAAGAGCACGTCTAATGTTGTCATAAGTCTGTCTGTTGCGAACAAAGCCACATTGATCAGTGTCTGTCAATTCTGGAATTAAAACCTCAAGCCTCTTAGCTAGTATTGTCGCAAAAATGCGATAATATATGTTTAAAACAGATATTGGCCGATAAGAGCCACATTCTGTTTTATCTTTACCTGGTTTGTGAATCACACAGATATTACTGCTCTTCTCCAAGATGGTCGTATTTGTCCACCTTTTAATACATAGTTAAAACAATTTTTTAGCCAGGGGATTACTTGAGATCTGAAATGTGTGTACCATTCTGCTGGATAGCCATCTTCCCCAGCCATTTTATTTCCTTTTAATTTAGATATGGCTTTATTCATTTCTTCATCTGATATTCATCTATTTAGTCTGTCATTTTGTTCAGTTCCTATTGATGGTAAATCCAGCTGGGAGAGAAAGTTATTTATCATTTGTGGACTCTGCGAATGTTGCTGAGTATATAACCGTTCATAGTATGCAGCAAAAGATTTTTGAATATTCTTCAGGTAATGACACATTGTGTTGTCAATAGGGCTCTTCACCCTATTTACAAATCTTTCTGCCTGCTGCTTACGTGTTCTCCATGGAAGAAGTTTCTTCGATTTCGGGCCATTTTCATAACAGTTTTGCTTCATAAATTTAGATTTCTTCTCCATTTGATCTTTATATAGTCTATTCAAACTATGTTTTGTTTCGGCAATCTTTTTTAAAGTGACAGTGTCTTTATTTTTCCGGCTGTCCGTGGACCGGCTGGTGTCCTGGTGCAGTGGTAACAACCTGGAGCTGAACGCCCAGAAGACAGTGGAGATGATTGTGGACTTCAGGAAGAGCACTGTCCCCCCGCCCCCACCCCCACCCTCCGTGATGGACTCCCCCATCACCTCTGTGGAGTCCTTCCGTTTCCTGGGCACCACCATCACCCAGGACCTCAAGTGGGAGCCGACCATCAGCTCCCTCATCAAGAAGGCCCAGCAGAGGATGTACTTCCTGCGGCAGCTCAGGAAAGCCAAGCTGCCTGCACAGATGTTGGTGCAGTTCTACACGGCCATCATCGAGTCCATCCTCACCTCCTCCATCACCGTGTGGTTCGCTGGAGCCACAGTCAGGGACAAACAGAGACTACAGCGCATTGTGCGCTCTGCAGAGGAAGTGATCGGCCGCAGCCTTCCATCGCTGCAGGACCTGTACGTCGCCCGAGCTCGAGGCCGGGCTGGTCGTATCACAGCCGACCCCT